TTTAAATAATCAACTCTCCTTAACATTATTATAATATATATAATAAACTTTGTAGTTTAATATAAATGTTTTTTTATCTTACATAAACAAAAATTAATTCTAATTCTCATAATAATTTTTTTTTCTAATTCAACTGTTATATAATATATATATATATATATATATATATATATATATATATATATAAACTTATAGAATAATTGATTGAGTAGTAAGGTAGTAATATATATTAAAAATAATCAAATATCTAACTAAATTTTATAATATTAATTTAATAAGGTGAAGATTATAATTATATATCAATATATTGTAATATTATTATATTTTTAATTTATCAGAGATTTTATCACACACTTATTAGGAAGATTTTTTATTATTACACCTCTCACTTCAATAGTTTTTTTAATACCTAACTCAACTCTAAAAATAAAATAAAAAATATTATATTTACTTATATATTATATATATATATATATATATATATATATTATAGTCTTATAATTTAAGAATTAAAAATAACTTATATATTATTTTTCTCTCAAAATCCACTTAAACAAGACACATCTCACTTCATTTATCCCTTAATCCTCACTTCATTTATTCCCTTTAATCTGGAGAAATATTTTTCATTAGAAAGTTCTCCTATAAAATATAATAAGTCATCTCTTGAACTAATTTTCTGATATAAGGGAAATAGAAAGACCTCAAATATTAAAACGCGAAAATTTTGAAAGAGAATAATGAAATTTATCAATTCCCACAAAATTTATAAGCCCCAAAATGAGGAAAGAAACCCTAAATTGATGATGACAAAAACTTGAGTCTGGCAATTCCCATTTAGATGGGTTATGTTTGGCTTCCGCTGATGCAAATGTGTGTTGTAAATGTCACATGAATATGACTAATTTAACAAAAAAAAAAAGGCAAATATAGTGAATATTTATGGTTCAAATAGACAAATGTAGTTAAAAGGTTTGAAAATGTTTAAGGAAAATATGACAAGAGATAATATTTGGTTGATGGTGGTGTTTACAACTTGTAATGATCATGAGGTCCCACCTGTCACAAACATGGCATTAAGTCCCCACAAAGAGATCAACTTATGGACATTTAATTCCCTGTTACATGCTTGATGGTGAGTTCTAACTGTATGCTCACCCATTAATATAAATCATCCTCTTCACTTTTATAATATATAATATATATATATATATATATATATATATATATATATATATATATATATATATATATTAAATGAACGTAGTATATTTGTGTTTTAAACAATTTTATTAAATTAATCTGATTCAGTTACCTAATGATTATTTTTGCAAAAAATCAAATTCAGAAAATGTCAATTTGACAAATTTTAAACTCTTACTAGTAATACCAAAATAGAAAAGTAAAAAACTAAACATGTTTTTTGTCTATATAACATATACTTAGAGAAAAAAAACTTATAATTTTTGTAAAATAATATCATGTCTTGTTATTTTATTTTAATTATGTAACTTTTTTGTCCAGGTAATATGCATATTTTTTTATTTTTATCTAATAAATTAAAAATAAACGAGTTATTATGCAGATAAAATGAAAATATATCAGAAGAATTAAGACTCATTTATGAGGACAAAATTAAAAAAAAAATTATAAAAACCCAAATAAAAATATATTTAAATAAAAGAAGGAAAACAACTAACCTTATTCATGATTTAAAGGCCACATTTACACATCTAAAAATTAAAATAGGTTAAATTATTTTGAAAAAAAAAAAAACTCTCGTTTGAAAGTGAGAGAGATTATGTGTTTAGTAGATTTAAAGTGGGTGATTTATTAAAAAAATTGTATTACCACTTTTGAGTTATTATTCATGTTATTTATTTAGGTATCTTTTGCTATAAAAAAAAAACAAATTAAAACTCATTTTCCAAAATATTTAAAAATAAATGAAATTATACAGATTTTTTTTTTCTATTTTCTTTTTTAAATTACAAACTGAGCACAAAATTTAGACATATATTTTTTTTTATGTCATTATATTTTTCAAATAAAATGAATAATTTACATTAATGAGAAATATATTTTTTTTATTTATTTTTGAGGTAAAACTATTTGAAATTACAACATTGTATTAAATTAAAGTTAAAAACATATATGATTTTTAGTAAAAAAAGAAATTCCTAGTTAAACTTATATGATAAAAAAATTAATGAAGAATAAAATATTGTATCAACTAAAATTTAAAAACTTATATGATTTTTAATTAAAAAAATATAAATTAAACTAATTAGATAAATAGACATATAACTTAGACTTAAATTTACAACATAACTTTTCATATAGCAAAATACTAGTATTGAATAAACGTTTAATTAAATTGTTTATATTCCAATACACTGTTAAAAGGTGAACTTTTTTTTGAATGTGACTAAACATGTAAACATGTGTCAAAGTCAAACATTTTATGTTGTCGATAAAGATTATGTAGGTCCAACATCAAAACTTTAATTTTCATAGAACAGTTCCTCATTCAATGATTGGAAGTACAATTAATACACTATTCATGCTGTTATCTTAATACAAAATTAATGCTTCTGGAATTAACTTATAATACTTAAATTATATTTGGAGTAATTTGTGTAAATTTCAAATTACATTTTAAATTTATTTTAATTATAATTATTGTTTGATACTTTTAAAAGATTAATACAAAGAGATATTTATAATTAATACACAAATTACCCTTTTATAAAAAAAAATTAATTTTTTTTCACTTATAAATTCTTTGGTTTCATCATCAATTTCAACTCATTTTTCAGAAGTTAGACTATTTTTTAGTAGAGTAAATGTTTTTTATATTATATTTTTTACTCTTATTTTTTTTCGGGAAACGTTTTAATTATTTTTGTTTTTTTATATATTTTTTTATCGACAAACCGATTACTGAAGATTAAGGTAGATTACTTAAACATAGTTATTTGAGAAATATTATTACAGTGATTTAAATACATAAAATCACTGGTTAGAACACATGGTGGAATTGAGATGATGGATAAAAAAATATGAAGGTGAAAAGATTGAAAATATGCAAAGGTTGTGTGTGGCTGAGTAAGAGGGTAGCAAAAAGGTGATACTGAATTAGGAAACATGAGTCCTGTCTTTATTATTTAAGAAGATCAATAAAAAAAAATAATGTATTTAAAATAAAATATATACTACTTTTAACAAAACAAAAACTTTTTTTCTCACTAAAAATAACATTTACAATATATATATATATATATATATATATATATTCTTTTTCAAAAGATATATTTGTTCATAAAGAAAAAAGTGTGAAAAGAAAGGAAAAAATAAAATAAAATAAAGTAAAAAATATTGAGAGGAATGTGATAGAAAAATGAAGGAAAGTATTTACTTTTACAAAAAATAATAAATAATTAAATTAAAATGAAATATTTATTCAATTACAAAATCATCCTATAATTATTATTTTAATAATAAAATAACTTTTTTAAATAATTATAAAATTATTTGTTAGAAATTTTTGAATTTAAATTATTAAAATATCATACTAAATATATATATATATATATATATATATATATATTAAAATTATAAATATAAATAATCATTTATGTAAGTAGGAATAATTTTATAAAATAACATTCCTCTCATATTTTTACTCTATTGCAATATATGATTGGAAAATAAATAATTCATAATAATCTTAGTTAATTAATTATAAAATATCATGAATTATTTAATAATTTAACAATGCTACTGTAAATCATTTATTGCATTCATTTATAAATAATATATTAACAAATAATATTAACTGTTATTATATAGATATATTCAATTGATGGATAAAAGAATGTAAATACATAATTGTATTTATTTTAAATATATAAAATAATTCAGTTATAGTAAATTATTTATTGATTATAAATCGTTATAAATAACAATAGATAATTATTAATTATAATTTAACAATAATAACATTAATAGCTTATGTATTTATTTTAATTATATAAATTAAATAAATTTAATTTAAGAATATTGCAAATCAATCATATATGATTTAATTATTGTATATATATTTTTTCAGTAAATTATTATATATACATTGAATAAATAATATATTTTTATATATAATGGACTGTCTTAAAAAAAAATCGTACGTAGCATATGTGTTATTATAAGTCTTATAAATTATTGCAAATAATGGTAATTTTAAAATAATATTTCAATAATCATATTTAATAATATTTTAATAATCATATTTAATGGAGTTACTAAATATAATGATAACAAGTTGCTAACCTTGTAATAAAAATAGTATATTCAGTTCCATAACAATCATTCAAACATAAGACCCAAATTCTCTCTCTATCTTTCCTTCTCACTCAACACGTGTGCATATCTCTGGCCCACCATTCCTTGCCACGTGGCTCCCTCGCCTTTGCCATCTCCTTCTCCTCCACCCCTTCCTCACTTCTCACCATCTCTTCCTATCCAACACTTATGGTGATTCTCCCAACACAACCCAAAAACGCTATCTTTGAACCTTTCTTCACCAATCCCAACACACTCCTTTTCCTCTTTCTATCCCATGCAACACCACCAACACACACTCAGCATCCAAACCAATGAATGACACAAGCTCTCACATAACAATAACAGAAAAACACAACACCCTTTAATCCTTAACGTAGCACAAGACACAGTTCTCATGTTTTTTTCACCTCCTCATGCTTACTTAATATCCAAGAAACCTTGATGGACTTAAGCACTGTACATATGTGATATATATATTATTGTTTCATGTTTCTTTCTGAGATAATTCTGTTCAAGACACTTTTTTTTCCTTCCTATACACATCTTCTTTTGGATATAATCTGTTGAACGCTCTACGTTGTTAGAAACATACAAAAAACCCGGATTTTGTTTTCCTGGTTTCTTGTTATTTTGTTGAGAAAACCGGTGGGAAAGTGGTGATGGCGGGGAATGAATGGATTAATGGGTACTTGGAGGCTATACTTTCAACCGGGGCATCGACCATTGAGGAGCAGAAGCCTGCACCTGTGACTCTAAGAGATGGGGGGCATTTCAACCCCACCAAGTACTTTGTGGAAGAGGTGGTGACAAGTGTTGATGAGTCTGATTTATATCGGACTTGGATCAAGGTGGTTGCCACCAGGAACACCAGGGAGAGGAGTTCAAGGTTGGAGAACATGTGCTGGCGCATTTGGCATCTCACCCGCAAGAAGAAACAGGTTCTTCTTTTAAGTTAGTTTGGTTGAAGAATGAATGGAAAAGAATTCATTTGAAATTGGATATGATTTGTAAACTAATAAATATTATGGTTCGAGTAATTTTCATGAAAGAATCCATTTGTGAATACAATGATGTGTTTCATTTTTCAGATTCCAATTTTGGTGGCCTGATTGAATCAATGGCAATATCAAATAAAAAACATCGTATCAGTGCGCATGGAATTTTTTTTTCTTTCTTGATCTTTTATCTTTTTAAAGGATTTTTTTAATTTCTCTGTGATTTGGATGAATTTTTTTTTTCTATATGGCCATTGCTGTGACTGAAACTAGGATAACTTGTAAATCTCAGTCACTACAAAGATTTTTCAAGTTATATAATTGAAAGTATATATATATACATTAAAGTGGCATTGCCTATTTTTTTGGAAATACAATCCAATTTATTTATCGAAGCTGTGCCATTAGCAATGATTGTGTTATTTGTTTTTCAGTTCAAGATTGAGAAGGGAATTTTCTAGCTAGAATAGTATGAACTGTTTGCTTTAAGTGTTCAATTCACTATGTTTGGTCCTTCACCTAAGATGGGGGAACTATCATTTACTATGGAGTTACTGTAAGCAAGATCATAACAGGCAACATTTATATGGTTTGTGTAGTTGGAATGGGAGGAAGTCCAGAGGGTGACAAACCGAAGATGGGAGAGAGAACAAGGTCGCAGAGAAGCAACAGAGGATTTGTCTGAAGACTTGTCAGAAGGAGAAAAAGGCGATGGTATTGGAGAGATGATGCAAAATGAGACCCCCCCAAAGAAAAAGTTCCAGCGCCAGATTTCCAATTTGGAAGTATGGTCTGATGACAAAAAGGAGAAGAAGCTCTATGTTGTCCTCTTAAGGTATACCATCCACACTACTCCAAGAGTTGTTTTGAATCGACATTTATGCCAGCAAATTATCTAGCCAATTTCTCAAGTTGTGTCAATGCGTCAATGAATACTCACTCATTGATTGATCACAGATTCATATTGATTCCCATTATCAGTGATCGGGAAAATAGTTTAACTTTGCTTAAGATTCATTTTACTGCTTAATTTCATCATAAATTTTTATCCTGGTTCTGAATAATGGAAAATGTTGTTGGGGGCTATCTGAGGATCAATCTCATTGGGGGCGGGGATTGGACTTGCATTGCCAAGGAAGCATTTACTATCAAGAATTTAGAAAGAAACCATTTGCTTCCTATGAAATTTTAAGCATTAATGTTTTCAAGGTAGTCTTATTTTTTCTAAACAATGCTGTTGAAAATGTTTCAGGAAATAAACTCTAGAAACATGTGTAAAAGTAATGATTGCTACAATCTTGTTCTTTTATTCCGCAGTTTGCATGGATTGGTTCGAGGAGAAAACATGGAGCTTGGTCGAGATTCTGATACTGGTGGACAGGTACTTGACATTCGTACACACCTAAATCACAAACTTACTATCCAATATCTTTTGTCCCTCCCTTTAAATGGTGATTAATGCTAGAAACAATGTATTTCCAGATTAAATATGTGGTAGAACTTGCTCGAGCACTTTCAAAAATGCCTGGAGTATATAGAGTGGATCTGTTTACACGCCAAATCTCATCACCTGAAATTGACTGGAGCTATGGAGAGCCTACAGAAATGCTAACTGCGGGTGGAGATGATGATGATAACATTGGTGAAAGCAGCGGTGCATACATAGTACGAATACCCTTTGGTCCACGCGATAAGTACCTCCAGAAAGAACTTCTTTGGCCTTACATTCAAGAATTTGTGGATGGAGCATTAGCTCACATTCTCAACATGTCAAAAGTATTGGGTGAACAAGTTGGTGGGGGCCAACCTGTCTGGCCATACGTAATTCATGGACATTATGCTGATGCTGGAGATAGTGCTGCTATTCTTTCAGGTGCCTTGAATGTACCAATGGTTCTGACAGGCCATTCACTTGGAAGAAACAAGCTTGAACAACTTCTTAAGCAGGGACGCCAATCCAAAGAGGATATCAATTCAACATATAAGATGATGAGGAGGATTGAGGCAGAAGAACTTTCGCTAGATGCAGCAGAACTTGTTATCACTAGTACAAAACAAGAAATTGATGAGCAATGGGGACTTTATGATGGATTTGATGTCAAGCTTGAAAAAGTGTTGCGTGCACGTGCTAGGCGTGGTGTCAACTGCCACGGTCGATTCATGCCCAGGATGGCGGTAATATGTTAACTGATAAAATTTTAAGACCTGGACAAACTTCTCCACAAGAACTTCTGAGAAACAAAAATAAGAAGAAAAAAGGAAATAAACTTTTTCAAGAGTTAAAACTAGTTTGTGTATAAGCTACTTCTTTAACTCGTAGATAAGTTAATTGAACTTATGGAGTGTTGGGTCTTTCTAGAGAGAAACACACCAATGAAACATGAATGCAACTCACATAAAGGATTGACACCACTCTTAACCCAAAACCAAAGACATTGAGCTATAGGTCTTACTTCTTTATATGTTGTTCAACTTTCTCATTCTTATTCAATGTGAAACTTAACTCATACTTGGATTATACATGGAGAGACTCATCTCATTCAAACAGACCCTTAAATGAAGGAGAATGAATGTTCAAATTGAAGTTATAATATATTTAACTACAAGGCTCTACTGCATAAAATTCTCTTCCAATTAATCTATTACTCAAAGACTTGGTAGAAACCTCTTCACTGGACGAAGTGCATCACCTTAGTACACTATTCTTTCTAATAACTTGGTGAATTACTATTTACTAATGGTTCAAACTTCCTCCAGGTTATCCCTCCTGGAATGGACTTTAGCAATGTTATGAGTCAAGAAGATGGCCCTGAAGTTGATGGAGAGATTTTTCAGCTTACTGCTAGTGCTGAAGGAACCTCACCAAAAGTAGTGCCATCAATTTGGTCAGAAGTGAGTAATTGATAATTCGGCTCTGTCTACAAATATTACTCATTTACTGTTACTGGCTTTTCTACTTACAGTTTAGTGCAGGTGATGCGTTTCTTTAGGAATCCTCACAAGCCAGTGATCTTGGCCTTATCAAGGCCAGATCCAAAGAAGAACTTAACCACTCTGTTAAAAGCCTTTGGAGAAAGCCGTCCCTTAAGAGAACTTGCTAATCTTGTAAGTTGCGTTAATTGATCTGTCCTCAGTGGAAACTATTGTTAAGTACTTGTAGAAGACTAATGTGTTTCAACACAGGTTCTCATAATGGGAAATAGGGATGACATAGATGAGATGTCTTCTGGGAATGCTAGTGTGCTCACAACAGTGTTGAAAATGATTGATAAGTTTGACCTATATGGGCAAGTGGCATACCCTAAACATCACAAGCAATCTGATGTTCCCGAGATATACCGATTTGCCGCAAAAACAAAGGTGTAATGAAGTTTAGTAGATTGCTATTTATAAACAATAATTTAAAGTTTAACAATTATCAACAACTAATAATTTATATTTTCTATCAGGGTGTTTTCATCAATCCTGCTTTAGTGGAACCTTTTGGTCTTACTTTAATTGAGGTAGGATTTAACTAACTAGCTACTTTGGTTTTTTGGGTTTTTTATGTTACAGTGATCGCTTTTTATCTCTAAACGTGCTCAAACTCATGCAGGCAGCAGCACATGGGCTTCCAATGGTGGCCACTAAAAACGGGGGACCAGTGGACATTCATAGGGTAAAATGAATTTTATCTTTGTTACTTGATCCATTTAAGGACCATCCTACATGTTTCAATGTGATGAACTAGTTTCTCAAATAGAATTTGGAAAACATAAAATTCACATTTAAATCTCTTGTCACAAAGGTTGTTACACTTTCAAAACCTTGCAGCCACTTATTGTGTCTCCTTTTGGTAGGCCCTGAATAATGGTTTACTTGTGGACCCTCATGATCAGCAAGCAATTACTGATGCATTGATCAGGTTGTTGTCAGATAAAAACATGTGGCATGAGTGCAGGAAAAATGGTTGGAAGAACATACACCTTTTCTCGTGGCCAGAACACTGCAGAACTTATTTGACAAGGGTGGCTGCCTGCAGGATGAGGCATCCACAATGGCAAACTAACACTCCTGGGAATGATCTAAATACTGAAGAGTCTTTCAATGACTCACTTAAGGATGTGCAGGACATGTCCCTTAGGCTCTCAATTGATGCTGACTTAGCAGGTTTAGGATCCGGATCAGACATGCAAGATCAAGTTAAGCGTCTCCTAAACAAGATGAACAAGCCAGATTCTGGTGGTTTAAATGACCCTAACAAGTTGCCTGACAATGTAACTGGGAAGTATCCTCTTCTGTGGAGAAGACGTAGGTTGATTGTTATAGCACTAGATGGCTATGATGACAAAGGAGCTCCTGATAAGAAAATGATTCAGATAGTGCAAAGGATCATTAAAGCTGCTCAACTAGACCCTCAAAATGCAAGAGTTTCTGGTTTTGCTCTGTCAACAGCCATGCCAATGCTAGAAACAGTGGAGTTCCTCAAATCAGGCAACATTCAAGCAAATGATTTTGATGTTTTGATTTGCAGTAGTGGTAGTGAAGTTTACTATCCCGGTACTTACACAGAAGATGGAAAACTTTTGCCTGATCCGGATTATGCAGCACATATTGACTATCGTTGGGGTGTTGAAGGTCTAAAAAAAACCATTTGGAATGTTATGAATACTGCTGAAGGTGAAGAGAGAAAACCTTCAAGCCCCATTGAGGAAGATTTGAAATCTAGTAATGCTCATTGCATATCATACAAAATAAAGGATATCACTAAGGTACATGAGATTCACTTCTGTATATGCATTGGGCCTGTTTGGAGGAAACTTTTCCATAAGCACTTCAGGAGAGAAAAATAAGAAGAAAAATGGAAATTAGGTTCTACAAATGAGTTAAACATCAGATTTTGAAGAAGTTAATAGGAAATAACTTCCACAAATTTAGCTTATGGAGAAGTTAATTTCTTTGTTCCTTCTTTATTTTCTTCTTCTAGAAGTGCTTATGGAGAAGTTTCTCCAAACAGGCCCATGGTGGCAGTGGTCAGGGAAACTGGTTTTATTGATTGAAATGATACTTGTATTGTCTTTCTCAGGCCAAGAGAGTTGATGACTTGAGACAGAAGCTTCGGATGCGAGGCCTACGTTGTCATCCTATGTATTGCAGGGGTTCATCAAGTATGCAGGTTATTCCACTCCTTGCATCAAGAGCACAGGCACTCAGGTAATAATAGTTCATAATAAACAATAAATTCTAATAACTCATCAACACTTTCAGATTGAAGGGTCTGAAGCTAGCATATATGCTATGAGAGAGTGTAGAAATCTATTTTCAATCCTTTGGTGTGAGGTACTGTAAGAAAACTCTGAAAATGAACCTGGAGGGGGAAAAAAGATATCATGATTCAATTATTTGTTTAATAAACGATTTTGCATGTTGTTCTCTCAAAGCCATTCAAAATCTGTGTAAGCAATAACTTCTTTTCTGTATTATAGGAAATGGAATGTTAACAATAAAACTACATCATACAACATTCAAGCAGATTTTTGTATATGACATCAATCTGGATAGCTTTATCTTATGCATTGATGTAACTGTTCATACAACTTAATTTAATGTTTAAGACAATTCATCAAGATGGTACAGGACAAAACAAACTGAATTGGGGTGAGAAACTTGGCTAGTGAAGTGTTAGTGTGCATGTCTTACTTAGATGGCTATGTTTTACAATTGCTAAAACAAAATGCTTAATATTCAGTATAGTTGACTGTCTGCTATTTAGGTATCTCTTTGTCCGTTGGGGACTGAATGTTGCAAACATGTTTGTCTTTCTTGGAGAAACTGGTGACACAGATTATGAGGAATTGATTTCTGGAACTCACAAGACCATAATCATGAAGGGTGTTGTGTCTAATGGTTCAGAAGCAATACTTAGAGGTCCAGGAAGCTACCAAAAAGAGGATGTTGTACCAAATGAGAGTCCTCTTGTGGCATGCATCAATGAAGCAACTGAGGACAAGATTGCCAATACTTTGAAGGAACTATCAAAATCTGGGATAATGTGAAGTGTTAAACTATTCTATTAGTACAATGTTTTTCTTCTTTTCAAATAGTATTAATCTGATTGATTACCTTTACTGAGAACAAATCGAAAAACGATGTAATTGTGTGCTATTGTGAAGCATAGAATCTGGTAAAAGTTATATATGACTTATTTTGTAACAGTGCTTTTTTATGTTAGGACTTGTATAGAAAATTCTCTTTAGGGTACAGCTGCAGCTGCAGCTGATGAGTAATCATGAAACCTTGCTTCTCTTTTTTCATTAAAGCAGTGGGAATTTTGCAAGGTCTAGTGTAATACAAGAAATTCTTCTGAACATAAGAAACATATGAACCTTTAAGAGGAAGCAAGTTAATTAGAATATAATTTTCTGATCACAATGCTGCAAGAACTACAAAATCTTGGAAACCCAGTAACTAGTTTGATCCCAAGTAAGGAATAAACAGTTACTTCAACCAAAGGATGCAACTTGTTTGAGAAGGATTCAAATAGGTGTGAATTCAGATTAGGTTATTAACTGAAAAAGAAAAACTGCACAATAGTGTGAATTTGGATAACATAAAGTCATAAACCCACACAATATATGTTTATTAGGCTTTGATAAGTGAGTTTTAAATATCTATGTACATTTTTTATTTTATTTGAGTAATTATATGATGTATTTGTTTATATAGTAATTCATTCTTTAAAGAAGAATATAAAGCAAAATTGGAATGTGAATATAGTAATTTCTTAATAAAAAAGAAAGGTATATGTGTGTATCAAAGAGAGGGTAGTAGAATAGAGTATTTCTATCATGGTAAAAAATTCCTAAAATGATAAATATATTTTCCAAAAAAATTATCTTATTTTGATCTTTTTAAATTTTAAACCAAAATAATACAAAAAGTTTTGAATAAGTTAAATCAATGTAAATTTCTTTTTTAGAAAATTATTATGTGTTAGCATGCATATATTATAGTAACTAAAAATATATCTAAAAGTTGGTGTATTATAATGTAGAATATAAGCATTAACAATATATGCCCCAAGCTTAAGTAAGAGATTAAATTAGGGAAAGGACAAGTTCACAGCCTCTATTGTACAAATAACCATCAATAACTTTATTTAATATTATAATAAGAATTTTAAATTATTTTTATTATTATAAAATTCTTTTATACTTATTATATTAATAAGTTGAGTTGTGTAATAGATTTTGTTTTTAAATTACTCTCTAAATTATATTAACATTAGTATTAGATATTTCAAATTAAGAATAATAATGAGTTAAAGAAAAAAATCTAATAAATAAGTCAAGCTAAATAATTTGTAGTCTAAATTGAATTAGATTTTTTTTTTCGAATATTTAGATCCGTAAGTTTATACAATAGCTATTTTCTAAAATAATTATTTAAAATAAAATATTATTTTATTAATATATATATATATATATATATTAAAAATTAATTTAATAAGAGATTTACTTAATTTTTATGAATAAATATTTTATTAGATATAAAATAAATTATTATTTTATAATATTAAATTATTAAAAAATAAGATAACGAAAGATAAGTTTTTAATTTTTATTTTAAGTATAAATTTATTTATTTTTATAATATATATATATATATATATATATATATATATCAAATCATTATATTAAAATAAAAAAGTATTAATATAACTTAAATTTAAAAAATATCTATTTTTAATTTTTATTTAAACATTTTTAATTAATAATTTTAATATATATATATATATATATATATATATATATATATATATATATATATATATATATATATATATATATATGTGTGTGTGTGTGTGTTAATAATTTTATTTTAGCAAATATGTTAGTTCATTGATTTGAGATATGTTCTAGATAAAAAATTATGGGAGATTACCATTAGTTTTATTTAGTTAGGATATGGTGTGAGACAGCTATTTTAATAATCTCATTAACATGAATTTAGCATATATTAATTTAGATTTGTATTGTATTTTATAATATTTTAAGATATATTTTTAAAAATTTATTATATTTTATAGTAGTTGAAAATGAAACAAGTGCTTAGGCTGGGATGATGTTAGAAAATGAAAAATATAAAGATAGAAAGATTGAAAGAAAAGCATATTGTACTTTATTTTTTTATTCTTATAAATTATATAAAGCAATCCATATTGATTTGTTTCACATACGATAATATAAGCAAGAAAAAAAATATGAATCTTTTTGTTTATAAGGTTGACATTTAATCTTCCTCCTTTTATATATATATATAGACTCTTAAAAACTAATTTTTTATCTTCACATTTGTTTATACTCTCTCGTTTATATAAGGGATTCTCTATTATATTTCAGTTGATTATGAATTTTGAATGAAATTAAACATGACATATTTTTAATGCAACATGGGACCTAGACGAGTTTAAAGTTCATGAAAATGATGAAATTTGATAGATTTTGGATTAAGTTTCTCCCTTCTAATTTGATAATTACAAAATGTTTGACTTTTTTTTCTTCTTATTTTTATTTCGAGAGATATATTGAAATATGATTTCAATTTTAATTATTTAAATTAGGTTACACAAATTAATATATTTTTATATGTATAAAGAGTTTTAATTAGAACTCTTATGTTTAAAATAGTATTTTTTTTATATAGGTATTAGTTATTTAAGTAGGTTTAACATCAAAGTTAAATTTCAAATCCCTAAATTTTAAATTTTAAACTTTAAATTTTCTACTTATTATCATTAAAATATAATTTAATCTATATTTATAAGAATTAAATTATATTTTAATTTTTATTTATTTATTAATCTTGATCAACTAACTATGAAAAGTACACACTTTCAAATATTTATAATTTTTTTGTTATATTTTAATTAATAATTAATTCATAATGATAGTTTTAGAAAATAAAAGTTGAAGATTTGTCACATCTTTATTTCATCTTTTACTTACATAAACAACAACAATAATAATAATAATAATAATAATAATAATAATAATAATAATAATAATAATAATAATAATAATAATAATAATAATAATAATAACTCATTTTCTTACCCTTTTTTTACCCTTCCATATTTTAATCTTTATTTAATTAATTTCTTCCCATTAATCTCATTTTCTTTATTAGAAACGCTGAAAAGTATAGATGTTTGATTTCTCGATGAGTTGAGAATAAATTTTTTTAATTCAGTTCTGAAAATTCATGTTAAGACACAAATCACATCTCAAATTCTTCATAGTCAATTGAACAGCTTTTGCTCAGCAAAAACACTAATTTAAAGTTACATATTTCATTAATTTTTTCAAATTAGAACTTTCATTTCATATTTTCAAACTTTCAAACATTGATATTTAAAAATTTAATACATTTTCAAAATCATTTTAAAATCTTATTTTGTACTTTAAATAATACTTTTAAAAGTCGATGATCATATATTTTTTAATTTTTTTTTATATTAAAATCCAAACTAAAATCATCCAATCAAGCATATAAATTTTGTAAGAACAAAGAAAAATGCTGAGAATTCTAGGATCGTTGAGGAACAGAGCACACACACACACACACAATACACTTTCCTTTCACAGACCACTTCACTTTGCTTTTTGTTACATGTTTTCCGTAAAAAAAAGAATGATTGATGGGGAACTCCAAACTCCAATGTACTTAGCGTAGCTTCCTTGGCATGTAAGGATTAACAATTCGTCAAATCACAGTTTCAAAGACCCACTTTTCTCACAAAAGAACAAACCAAACAAAAAAAATAATGAAGTTGCAATCTGATTTGTGTGAGCTTTCATCTCTGGTTTGTGTTCCTTTGGCCAAAAGAAAAAGCACTCAGCTAAAAAGGAGTAGCAGCTGCATCACCCTCTGCTCCCTTCTTTTTCTTTATTTTAATAATTATTTATATATTTTTTCCCTCTTTTCCCTTGCTACCAGAGCAATCCCAAAACCTCTCTCTCAATCAAAGTATCAATCTTTTTGGTTCCTTCTTGTACCCCAGTACAAAAGATGGCAACTTTACCTTCCCCCACTCTTCACTCAAACCCCAATACCTGTGGTGCTTTCTGGTTGGTGAAGGAGAAAAGAAGAAGGGGAAGAAGAAGAAGAAAATTGAGGAAGAAATCTCGAACCTTGTTGCATTGGTTGTTGTGGTGTTGGTGGCAGGACCATGGCCAGCACCAGTGGCACAAAGGGTCCTTTTGAGATTGGTAGGCAGCCATCCAAGAGGATGGTGAGGGCTCCTACCAGGAATGTTGACTTGGGAAATGAGGAGGGCGTGGTAGACAGTGAGATTGTGCCTTCTTCACTTGCTATGCTTGTGCCTATTCTCAGAGCAGCCCTTGAGATTGAGGAGGACAATCCCAGAGTTGCCTATCTTTGTAAGTATTTTTTTCATTGGGATGTTTGATGATTTTTTTTTTTTTTTTTTTTTTGCTTGATCAGTGCAGATATTGAGGTGGTGTGTTGTAAGTAGTTGTTAAATGTTGGGAATGTTCAGCAGGGATGGTTTCTGGTGTTATGTATATGGAAGTAAAAGTATATAAGGGTGTGTGGTTTTTCCCTGGATGTTTTGTGCAATATTTCTTTTTCTTTTCTTCATTTTTTTGGAGTGAAAGAATAATTTTTATTATGGAAGAGAAGAGTGGAAAAGTTTAGGCTGAGGTATTATAATTAAGTGTTGCAAAGTGCCAAAATTAATAACCAATGACAAAACACTTAAAATATGAGATTTATATCTCATGTTATTTCATGATTGTATTGTTTTTTGGAGGGGGGGGTGTTAAAACTAGAAATATTATGAGGGGTAAGAAAAAAAGAGCCCAGAAAATTTACCAGTTCAAATTGAGAGACCACATCCAGCACTCACCTCACCCATTAAATATCATAAGGAATTGTCAATAAGGACACATGAAAGTAAGTGACAGATTGCGTCCAAGTTAAACCACATCTTTGAATTTCCATCAGAGCTTTAGTGCTTATCTTGTTTGAGTACTGCTATTCAAATGAAATACAAAATTTCGCTTCAAATTGGACTTTGAAACAGAGTTCTTTAATAAGAAGAGCTTGACATGTGAATTAGTTAATATGATCATGTATAAAGGAAACAAACACCTTCCCATAGAAGTGGTTGGAAACTGAGATGTTACCACTGCACTGAATATCCAAAAAGTAACAATCCCTTGCTAAATATGAAAACAGTTACGAGGTTAATGGTTACCACTGATTAAGTTTTCTAAAATTTAAAACTTTCCTGTTCCTCTATTTTACAATTCTTCTCAAAACTCTACATATCATAAAGGTATGCAAGACTGGTGGAGAGTCAATATGTTTTCTAAATGAAAGGAAGCCTAGCCTGAATTCATGTTCCTGACCGACCCCTGAAGAATGTGATTTTAACCAGTGATGGGATTTCTATAAAGTTACAGGAGGACTGGAAAAGAATCCCCTTAGGGAAAAAGAAATGAACAATTAAAATGACCAAATACTCAATGAAAATCATGCTGTGGACAAAAGAGAGCAAGCTGTTGACATGACACTTCAAATATCCATGAACTTGATGTACAACATAATTGAATTTAAATTAAGCAATACTTATTAAGTTAAAATTGTGTCCATTTACACTAATTTACTGATTGAATCCCTTAAAGTGGATGCTTATATCTTTAGCATGGTATTTCACCACCAGTTTTGTCCTTATGACTGCTGATCTGTCCGACAACTTAGAATTTTGAAGAAAGAATTGATTAGTGTGCGGTTGGTTCAACTTATTTTGAAGAAATAATTATTTGTTTTTACAGCTTCCTGAGAGAGATTTTGAAAAATATATGATTATTTCCTCAAAATAATCTATACCAAACATGCGCATAGTCGCTAGTGCAACTTTTGTGAACACCAAAGCTTCTTGTAATTCTTTTGTTTGTCGTCACTCTAGACATGCAGTACTTAGTGAAGACAAAATTTAAAGTTCTCTTTATATGATTTATGTTACTATCACCATTTCTGATTTGTGTTACCATTGATTTAGTGAAATATTTCCTGTAAATGTGCAGATAGTTTTTCTGCTAAACTGACATGCTTTCATTGTTCGAATTGATAAATAATATCAAAATGTTTTGAATTTGTTTACTTTAAATTACGCTCTGGCTTTTATATGCTATACAAGGTTTTGTTTATGAAAAATGGTGATTATAGCTGTCACACTTTTGAACTAGTTTCACTTCATTCTTAAAAGACCAACATGTGGTTTCTCATAGATAGATTCCATGGGGAAGATAAATCTCCAACTATGCAGTAAAATCTTTTTTTCCAAAGGCAATTTTGGTGAACCTAAGATTTTTGTCTGTTTAACATAATCCAAATAGAACTCACAGGAGAAAGGATATAACAAAATAAATGTTAGTAAAAATATATGCGAAAAATCCCTCACTAGTTATTCCAATGTGTCATATTGAAGCCATATTCTGCTTTCAGAATTGTTACCGTTACACAGCAAACACAATTTCAAAGTCAATATCTAAAAGAGAAATGAAACAAAAATATAGAATGGAATCGTCTGTTTAGAATATCAAAGGTGTTTTACCTTATATCACTGAAGAGTATATGATACTGAAGATTTTTTGTTAAATTAGGTCGCTTCCATGCATTTGAGAAGGCCCATAAAATGGATCCAACATCAAGTGGGCGTGGTGTTCGTCAATTCAAGACTTATCTATTGCACAAACTCGAAAAGGTACCTGGCTATTTTTATTTTCTTACAGTTCTTATAGTTATTGAAAGTTATGTTTTGTTACCTCTGGTGTCTATGTGCTGGTAATGATGGTTGTCCTGTTGTCTTAAATATTAATCTCAGCTTGATAAGATTTTCTCTTTTTCATTTTAATAAAAATCTTCTTTTTATTAGGAAAAAAATTATACAATAATTATGTTACGATTATATAGATTGATCATTTACAAATGCAGTCATTTCTTAATTGCTTCCTGGAAAATGAGGATCAAATAGTTGATATATTAAACATTTTTAAATTTCTCGATTGTAGGAAGGGGAGCTTACAGAAAATGCTAGTCGCAGAAGTGATGCTAGGGAGCTGCAGACCTACTACCAAAATTTCTACGAGAAGAAAATCAGGGAGGGGGAATTTAGCCAAAGACCGTGAGGCTTGATCTAAATCTTGTACTTTCAAGTTTTGTGAATTGTGATGCGATGTCTTATTGTTCTATGTTGCTCTTGAAGGGAGGAGATGGCCAAGAATGTTCAGATTGCCACTGTGTTGTATGATGTGCTGAAGAATATGGTAGCTCCACAAAGTATTGATGAGAAGGTCTGTTTTGCTTGATTAGTCTACCATGACTAAAATTTGTAGAATACTAGTAAACATATTTCAGACCTGGACTAAGGATGTTGTTTATTGCCAGACAAGAAGGTATGCTCTGGAGGTTGAGCATAAGAGGGGACAATATGAGCACTATAACATCCTTCCATTATATGCTGTTGGTGTTAAGCCAGCAATCATGGAACTTCCTGAGGTTTGTATGTCTGGGAGATATGCATTGTTTATTTTATTTCTGCCACTGATATAATTTCCCTGAAATTTTAAATTTTTAATCTGCTATTTTTTTTTTCTTGAAAATTAAAGATCAAAGCAGCAATTTCTGCTTTATGTAAAGTGGATAATCTTCCAAAGCCCAAAATTCGTGCAAGGCCTGATGCTTCTAATGATGATTCTACAATGCCTACAGAGAGGCTTAAAAAAGTGAATGATATACTTGATTGGATTGCCTCAGTTTTTGGGTTTCAGGTAATGAATATTCTCTCTCTCCATCTCCCTTCTATTTACTAATTCCACTTTGATTGGAAATTGTACTTGTTAAAAATGTATGTGAATTAGGTGCTACATTTTTATTAATCATAGGAGATGGGTTCTTGGTTTAAGTTGGTGGTGGATGAAGAGGTGTAGATTGGACTGATGATTGGGTTTTAGGAGCTGTATTCATTGGATAACGGGAATCACCTTTTTAGTTTAAGTTTTGATAAAAGGAATCCATTTTTTGATGGTATGGGGGTAGTTTCAAAAGGGATAGATTGAAGGTTTATTTTATTATATGTTCTGTTAAGCATATTTAAGAGAAATAATGATTTACGTATTTTACCAAATTATTGAGAGAGCTTTGAAAAATAGTCTGTTTCTCCCAAAAAGTGTTACTAAATCTGAATCTGTTGAACTTCTGTTCACATATGGCTAATATGGAAGCAACAGGATGATGAATAATGACTAGAAATAGCAATGTTTAATAGGTATGAACCATTGCTTCAAATTAGGTTTGAAATTTAGAAGGGTTCTCAAAAAAGATTTGTTCATTGGTATTAAGAATATGTCTGAGTAATGCTTATAGCATAATCATTTGCAGGTTCGTCTGTTTGTGGCTGAAATGTAATGTCAGTGCTTTTCAGTGGAGATATTATCCTTGAACCTTTTATGCCATTATGTTTTTCCACTACAAACATGACAAATGAACAATTTAATGTGGTTCTTTTTCTTTTGGCTTCCTTGTAATTTCTCCTTTTAAAGTTTGGCTTCTTGATGAGATTGTATCAATAAATTTATAAAGGGTTGAAGAGCTCAATTTATTTCAACTTTCAATTTAGCCAATGATAAATCAGGTAGATATATTTGTCATGCACATTTCTGGTGAATGATCTAATATAATGTTTCCTTCTATATTGGGATATGAAGAAAGGAAATGTGGCAAATCAAAGGGAGCACCTTATATTATTACTTGCCAACTTGAATATACGGGACAGGGCTGAATCATCTTATCAGGTGAGCTATTATTTCCCACATAAAGCTTTTATTTTTCTATCTATTTTCATATTTAATGGACAGGGTAATACTAAATTTGAGAGTTGTAATTACACTTCCAGTTTTCTACTTAAAAGCTAACACAAAGCTTGTTGCAGCTTCATGTAGAAACTGTAGAAAAGTTGATGGGAACAGTTTTCAAAAATTATGAGTCATGGTGTCATTATGTCCGTTGCGAATCCAATCTTAGGTAATTGAATGTTTTATGTTGGGATAATAAAAGCCAAAGATTTGTACCTTAAGAGTGTGTTTGGAATGAGGAGTTGGAAAGGGAAAGGAAGCTTCGGTTTTCAATTTGAATTAACATTTTTTTTAATATTGTTTTTTAAATGAAAGGAAAAAATTGAAGTATTATCGCATAACCTTCCATTCATCTCTTATTTGTTTTTTTATAAATGTTTTATCAATTTAAAACCGTAAACTAACCCTCCTTTCCCTTTCTTTCCAAACCCTTGCATCCAAGCATACTCTAAATTGTGCTTCATACAGTGTTTATTTACTAACAACAGCTCTTTGGTTCATTTTGGTGTATGAATTCATTTTTTAACACTTTCTAGATTTCTAGAAGATTATGACTTGCAACAGATAGAGCTGATATATATTGCACTTTATCTTCTTATATGGGGAGAAGCTTCAAATATTCGATTTATGCCTGAATGTATTTGCTACATTTTCCATCATGTAAGTCTCTATCACCTAGCATCCATTCTTCTGCTGTGCCTGCACTGCGAGTCCATCATCTTTCTAATTACTCATAACAAGCTTATGCTCCATTATGTTAAGCAAAGTGTTTCTGGTTACCTCATTTAAAAATTATCATTATACCATCATTCTCATCTCCATCAGCAACATAACAAATGTTATAGCTTCCATCTGTATCTATACTTCTAATCAATATCTTTAATTTCTTGAATTATTCTTCTTAGACAGAATGACACCATTGAAATTAAGTAGAAGATATTTCATGAATAGAAAGAACATAGTAGATTCTATTTTCAGATTAAAGAATTAATATCATTCTAATCATTTACCAAAAGTCATTCTAATTAGGCCAAACCTTATTGTATACACCACACAAGATTCTCTTTTCTTATTTGTAAATTAATGTCTTAGCTGAATGTCTTTTGAAAGGAAAAAATATTTCTTCAGGTTATCAATTCTCTCAAAGTTCTAATCATACAAATTTTGAAAAAAATACCTTCATGTGAAAATCACAAATGAAATGCAACAATTTGCATATTTATCAGAAGAAAGCTTGTGGAACAGAGACTTTTCCCAGTTAATTTTCGGAACACCACATATCATGCCGCAGTAAACTCTTCATACCCAATTTTGGAAGTATGCAACATTTTCAAACACAAAGGTTTAAGTAAACTTGTGGATGGGAAGTAAAGACAAGTCAAATAATTGTAACAGTGTTTACCTTCTACAGCATAATTTGTATCCTAGTGCTCAAACATAAATAAGTAATAGTATATCTATGATTGATATTCTAGATTCAAACAATGTACAAAGCAAAAGCCAAATCAACATCAGACCTATTCTGCACATGCCTCAAGTTTCCACCCAATGACAGACCTAAATTCCAGCATCATGCTTTCTAATTCTAGCAGCAGGAACTCTATTTCCTTACGGCACAGATCCTGACCCCATAGTTTCACAATTTTTTAATTTCAATTTCATGTTTTAACTGAGCCACATATCAAGAATGGGCTAGATGGTTAGATGCCATCTTAATGATTCTCTTTCTTTTCTTCCTCGCAAAGATGTGCCATGAAGTCTATAGGATATTAGATAAGAATCCCTCTCGTGTGACTGGGAGCACAGAGATAGTAGAAGGACGTGATGAGGAATATTTTCTGAGGGAAGTTGTCAGTCCTGTATATCAAGTTTTAATGAAGGTCAGTATGATGTGCAGGACATTTCCAAATGTTGTCTGAAACTTGTTTTGCTGTGTGTTTTCATATGTTGACTAAAGTTCTGTATTTTGTAAAAAAGGAAGCCAAGAGAAACAACAAAGGAAAGGCAAGTCACTCCAATTGGAGAAACTATGATGATCTTAATGAATACTTTTGGTAAGCATTTCATTAAACTTTTACTTATCAAATGATGAAAACTCTTGAAATAGTGATATTTTTGTATGCATTTGGATAACAAGAAGCTCAAACTTGTACTTTTCCAGGTCTAAAAAATGTTTTGATGATCTAAAATGGCCATGGGACCTCAAAGCAGATTTCTTTAGACATTCAGACGAGACACAAACGAGAAATCGGGTCTGTGTCTATGTTCTCTTTCTCTCTCCTTTACATACTGTCTAAATGTGTTATTTTCCAATATGCAAATTCTCTCACAACTCATTTGTATTGGATGTAGTTAGAATCAAAGAATATTTTATTTGAGGATATCATTTACTTAATATTATTTTATTTGAATAATATTTCATCTCATGTTAAGTGCCATATTTTTTATACTCGGCCAATGTGCCAAGAATATCCTATTTTCTTGCTTTATTGAAGAATGATTTTATTGAGTAAGACACTTTCATCCCTAAGATATAAGAAGAACCACCACAACTAAGCCTTTTCCCTCAAGCTGGGGTTGGTTACATAGTTTAAACGATGCCACAATGTTTTGGAAATTATATTGAAACTAAAAGCTATAGAAAGAATAATCCTATAACTACTAATATGAAGTTCCAATTCTCATGAAACCAGCTTGAAGGATTCCTGCATCAGAAATTTGGATTAGGATACAAGTTTTTGGGTAAACATTATATATTTTTTATTTGTATTAGATATTTGAAGGACCATCTCTCCTAAAAGCTAAGATGCCAGGTGAAGGCATTTAAATGTTTTAATATTTCCTACTGTACTTTGTGCAGAAAATCCAAATAGAATAGTCTTAGAATTGTGGGATTGAGCATAACTCAACCTTACAAAATTTGCTTGTGAAATGAAAGTTGTCTCATACTTATTTATATATACTACTTTTACTCATCTCTAATTAATGTGAGACTTGGTTTTTCCCAAAACACGCATTCATGCTTCGCATTATAGGATTTGGCGTGTAAATAATATGATAGGTGACTTAGTATATGTTTTGATATGATCTTACAATTTTTGGTTTAAACCTAATTCAACCTTACAAAACTGAAGTGATGAGGATATTTAAAATAAATAAATAATAGATTCACATAACAATTAATTATATCCAAATTGACCAAAATAAGATTTAAATGCAAATAAATTCATGACATTTGTTTTTATCCAAATAAAATATAACATGGAAATGAATTAGAAATGTAAGGGAAATTTCTATACCTCTGAATTTGTTTAGGGTAGAATCTTTTTCATGGTTTCACATTGGTGTTCAGGACACAAACTTTTTATCGGTATTAGTGTTTGATATGCAAAGGGACTGAACTGCTCTTTTACAACAATTAGCTATGAGAGCTTCCTTTTCTTGTATGTGTTGTTTTTCTTTTATATTGTCTCTGTGGGATTTCTTATCCGCCAAACTTATGTACTTGTATCTCTCTGTCTCAGATAAATTGTCTTCCTTTGTCACAAAAATAAAAGAAAGGAAAAATTGTCAGGAACTGTGGGATCTCAGTTCCAGTATTGGTAAAAGTATGAGAATAAGGGAGCCTGTACTGTAGAATAGCTCCACACTTTTTATGGTTTATTTGGTTGGATAGGGTGTGGGTAGCCTTTCTTGAATTAGAGAATATGTCATGTATGTGTATAAAATATTGCTCAAGCTGAAATGGTCTTTAATGTATAGCTATTTATTTTTCCATTCATTTTTGTACTTGTTCTGATTCGTTTTCCTTGCACTTAGAGTGTTCGGTACACATATAAATGAAGCCTACTTGTATTTTCCTTCCATAGTAATAAAATTGTTTCATTGATTATAAGCAACATTATGTAAATACTCACCTGGTCAGATAAACTTGCTTTTCTTTGAAAGAGACCTTTATTGAAATACAAATTTTAATGACAGCGTCGAAGCCAAGCCAACACAGGAGTTGGTAAGAGAAAGCCCAAAACAAATTTTGTTGAAGTTCGTACCTTTTTGCACCTGTATAGGAGTTTTGATCGAATGTGGATATTCTTTATATTGGCTTTACAGGTAATTGTAGTACTTGGACCTGTGGAATATTTTATGTTCACTTTAACTGAATGTCTGTAGCTATGGTTACGTCTTTAAACTTTTCTGTGCGAATTTTATTTCAAATATGAAAGTATTTGTTTCAGGCAATGATTATCATAGGATGGAGTTCCTTGGGACCTGTTGGGGTGTTTTTTGAAGAAGATGTCTTCAGAAATGTTATGACGATATTCATTACATATGCTTTTCTCAATTTTCTTCAAGGTGCTTGTTTCCTGTGTGTTATTGTTATTACTGTTCAGTTCTGTGTTATGACTATATTCTTAATGTTGTTTTAATGGCAATTACTGTTCTCATTTATTGACTTTTTTTTCTCATATCTTTTATTGCAGTCACTCTTGATATTATTCTGACATGGAATGCATTGAAGAACATGAAATTTACTCAGTTGCTTCGATATTTTCTGAAATTTGTGGTAGCAGCTGTTTGGGTTGTTGTTTTGCCAGTCTGTTATTCCAAATCTCTAGTGAATCCATCAGGGCTTATAAAATTTGTCACCAGTTGGGCTGGGGATTGGGGCAATCAGTCACTTTACACCTATGTTGTTATACTATATATGTTACCAAACATAGTGGCTACAATACTATTTTTCCTTCCTCCTCTTCGGAGAAAATTGGAGCGATCAAATATGCGAATCCTTACCTTTTTGATGTGGTGGGCTCAGGTCAGTAACACATGCATTTATTGGTTTAATATTTTGTGAATATATTTGCATTTCTTTCTATTTTCTAATTGAAATATGTTTCGGTGTACTTTATCTAACATTGACCATGCTGCAGCCGAAATTGTATGTAGGAAGAGGCATGCATGAGAACATGTTCTCCCTGCTGAAGTAAGTGAGAAATTCTTATCAATTTCCTTTTGGCATCACCTTCGTTTTACTCCAACCACATGTTTTCTTTTTAATTAACTTAGTTTGTGCTCAGAAAATCTTTTCTTTAGAAAGTAGATATTTGTAAAAATGACAGTAGAATTCCAATTGTTTTTTGTTATGTTAAACAAGAAATGATTTATTATATACTTTGTAAGATACTTGCACTTAGTATTCTGGGAACCCTTTTTCCCAAATAAAATAATCTTCTTATCTTTCCTTAAAGCTCTTTCAAGAAGCTAAGAACAAAGGTTTTTTAACCAAAATATTCAAACACGCCCTTACTCGCCTAGTTATAGACATACTGTTGAATATATCTATCAACTACTGCCTTTTAATGTTTTTGTCAAATGTTTTACGAAACTATTTTGGCCCGTATATCTAGAGACAACAGATCAATTTTTGGATTGTCTTTTTCAGTTGGATCAGAGACTAATGATGGGGTATTGAATTGAGTCATAGGCACATATTGGTGGTTCCTTCTATTATTAAGTTTCTTTTACATATTCTGGCCTTAAAATATGTTTCGTTATGGCAGGTACACCCTCTTCTGGATCATGCTGCTAATCAGCAAGCTAGCATTCAGCTACTACGTGGAGGTATTATTTATGTAATTGGTTTCGATATTTTATTTCTTCCAAATTCCATAGCTTGTTGACACTGAACCACGTGTGAGTGGTAAAAAACATGTCTTGAATGACAAGAGAGTGATTGAAGTATGGAATGATAAGCTTGCTTGCTCTGTCAAAATATCCATTTAAATTACACTGAAATAAAATTTTGGTGGTATTTTTTGCTCTTGATTCCTAAAACTTTGTTTAACTTTTGTTCCCGGTAAATTTTTTTTCTTTTTGAAGTTTTGGTCCTTGTTATTTTATTTTAGTCCCTGTAAAAATCTATTTTTTTGTTTTAGTCCCTATAATATTTTGTTCATTTTTAATTAGTCTCTTTGAAAAATGTTTGATAGGAACTAAAAGCAAATAATCTACATGTAACAATAACTAAAACATAAAAATAGATATTTACAAGGACTAAAATACAACAACAAGGACCAAAATAAAAATTAAATTACTGGGACCTAATGTTAAGCAAAAATTTTATAAAGATAAAAAACAAAATACAGCTATATTTCAAGAGCCAAAAACATATTTAAGCCTTCATATTACTTTCAGTGTGTTAGAATATCTACAATATATTCAGAGGAAAAGGATTATGATTAATAAATTACTATAAATAGGGATAGGAGTTTGGTAACTAATTTCTACTATAACTTGAGCTTTTAGTGCATTTTTTCTTTTGTATCACATGGAAATATACAATAGAAATTTAAAGCTACGTGTATCTATTCTCTGTCTCCTTCCTTAACTAAACAATATAATTTAAACATCAATATTGGGTGGACCAAATTCATATTTTCTTATTAATAAATAATTTTTTTAAAAATATATATCAGCACTTAAATTCTATTTTTGTAAAATTCAACACAGATACTATCACAGTTACTTCAATTTTATAAGCTTAATGCTAGCAATTTGGAGCTTTAATATTACATGTTAATAGACATGGTTATGTATTGGGAAAATCCCAAGTCCCTCATCAACTAGAGATAGTGCCAAAACACAGTATATAAGTGGGGCAATCCTCACCTTACAAGTCAGTTTTGTAGGATTGAGTTAGATTTAAACTACTTACTAAGATGGTATCATAGTGTTTTTGCTCTTTGACGGTCGCTACTCTCCAAGATTTTTTTGCTTTGTGGCAGTTGTGTTCTCTAAGCATTTTTTTTCTCTTCCTAACTCATCTTATAAGCCGGTTTTGTAAGGTACAGCTGGACCTAAATCATTTACTAAGATTATGTAAAGTGTGTCTAAACTCAAGGTATGGTTTGGTCTAACCAAATCATGTGATTATGTTAGTCAGGAAACTTTCTCATTGCATTAATGATAATAACACCAGGTTTCAACATCTCTAGGCCTCTCCTTTTTCTCTTTCTGCTTAATTATAAATTTGTGCAAACTTTAGAGAGATCATGGAATCAATTCCCAATAAATGAACTATGGAATTCTTGCAATCATGTTTTCATGTATTTTCTTTATTCCTCTTTATACCTGTGTCATGATTGTGTGAAACTCAACGAATACTTTTAAATTGTACTTCATTAAATTTGTTTCTCTTTTGTACCAATTTTATCTCTACACAGATATTGCCCCTTATTGGACCCACAAAATTAATCATGGGGATGTCTATAGATAACTACCAGTGGCATGAGTTTTTTCCAGAAAATGGTAACATTTTATGTCCTTTCCACATCTTTCTATCTTTGCTACTTATTCTATCAGCATAGCTAGCTTCAACTAACATTCTGTAACTGCACCAGAGACTCACAATATATGTATTGTCATTGCAATATGGGCTCCAATTATCCTGGTAAGTATGGTAGGAAAGGAATTTTAGACTAATGTAATGAGCTTTTTATTCCATTACTCTGCCTTCACATTTTTGCAATAATTCATTCCATTCTTATGTGTTTAATTAATATATAGGTTTATTTTATGGATACTCAAATATGGTATGCTATTTATGCCACTCTGTTTGGTGGGATTGTTGGAGCCTTCAGCCATTTGGGAGAGGTTAGTGGCATGTTTTTGCAATATTTTATATTAGACCTTTGTAATCCCCCTATTTATGTAAGCTCTTCTTAAATCAATGACATATATGCAATTTATAATCATTATAATTTATATATAGTTTACTTGTATTCTAAGTTTTAAAATGTTGTCATATTCATGTATTGTATCTTATTTTAGCCAGTACTTGTACCCATACCCATGAAACATAGTATCTTTTTTGGTAATTTTCTCCTAATGTTTTGCATCCCTTAGATAAGGACACTTGGAATGCTCCGGTCCAGATTCCAATCTGTACCAGTAGCTTTCAGTCAGCGTTTTTGGACTGGAAGAGACAGAAAGACTAAACAGGAGGAATCGGTACTGCATGTCATGTTTCAAAATTTAGTATTTATGTACTATGAAATGATCTTACTACATAAAAATTGAAGATATATATATCTGGTGTCTCACGAATGGATCTTCTGTGCCAGGATGAGACCTATGAAAGGAATAATATTGCATACTTCTCTCAGGTTTGGAATGAGTTTATAAATTCTATGAGAGAGGAAGACCTCATCAGTGACAGGTCCAAACTACTGCTTGCCTGATACATCTTGCATTACATGCCTGGTCCTGAATTTCAAGCTTCTGATTATATTTCTTCACTACTAATTGTCCAGGGATAGAGATTTGCTTCTTGTCCCATACAGTGCAAGTTATGTTTCTGTCATTCAGTGGCCTCCATTCTTACTTGCTAGTAAGGTGTGTCATATGAGTGGTTCCCTACGGCCAAAAGTTTATATGATTGAATGAACATGTCTTTTGCTTCTTTTCTAAATTGTTTTAATATGTGATAGATTCCTATAGCTGTTGACATGGCAAAAGATTATAAGAAGGAAACTGATGAAGATTTGTTTAGAAAGATAAAGAACGATGGGTATATGTATTCAGCAGTTGTTGAATGCTATGAGACTCTCAAGGACATCATATTGAACCTTCTGCTGGAAGAAGAAGATAGGCTGTAAGAGAGAAATACTTGTATAGCCTCTGTTCACCCATTTGATTTTCTTCTTATTGGAATCCTCATGAGTATTGGTTTCTTCAATGTATGAGACAGGGTTGTGAGCAGTATATGTGCTAAAGTAGAACAGTGTATATTTGATGAAACATTTGTCAAGGAATTCAATATGAGTGGCTTACCTTCACTCAGTGAGAAGTTAGAGAAATTCTTAACTCTACTTGTAGGTTTTTCCAATCATGCTATCATTTTTTTCTCAGTATATTTGAGTTCCTTCTCGAAAGACTTATTCAGGTCTTATAAATATTATTGTTTTACCTATTGGCAGCGATCTGAAGATGGCAAACTTGAATCCCAGATAGTCAATGTCCTGCAAGATATTGTAGAAATTATCATACAGGATGTCATGGCTGATGGCCAGTTGTATGTTTGAAACAATGACTGGAACTTTGGTTTATGACTGTTTTGTTCTTAAACCCTATAGTAAGTACTGCTTTACGATATTGGCTTGGATCTTCTTTCTCCAGGTTTCTGCAAACACCTCAGCAATATAATTTGGAGAAAGGGCAGAGGTTTGTCAACATTGAAACTACTTTTACAGAGAATAGAGCAGTGATGGAGAAGGTAGTCTTGACAACTATAATTTAGTGCACTCATTGCATTATTCTTTTTGAATATGCTGTTGCTTACCAGTTTCTGTTTTCTCTGTGTAGGTTATTAGGCTTCATTTGCTTTTAACAGTCAAGGAATCAGCAATAAATGTTCCCCAAAATATAGAAGCCCGCCGCCGTATTACATTCTTTGCAAACTCCTTATTTATGAATATGCCAAAGGCTCCTAAAGTTCGGGACATGTTGTCCTTCAGGTCAGTCTTTGTGATAGACTAATATATTGAAAGGAAAGGAAAGAAAAACATAGAACAAGTATTGTGGGAAATCAAATAGTATTTTAGGAAAGAATAAATTAGGAAATTTGTATATTTCCTTGTAATCTGTACAGATTTGAATAATTAGGAACAATCCCATAAATCAAGGGATCCTAGCATAAAATAGAGTTATTATATTTCCTAAAATAGCTTAGGTCTCCTGTATATATCTTATATCATCTCTTTGTATTGATATAATAAAAATCATATTTCAGTTAATCTAATTTTCCAGATGGTATCAGAGCTTCCGATCTAGGAAGCTCTGATTGCGCTCGATAAACCCTAAGACGGCAGCCTGCATTGCTGCTGCATATTTCTTAACCATAAGACGACGACCTGCATTGCTTGTTGCATATTTCTTAACCCTAAGACGGCGACTGCATTGCTGCTTGCATTTTTCTTAACCCTAAGACAACGACTTGCATTCGTCTGTGCATTTTTCTTAATCCTAAGACGACGACCTGCATTGTTGTTGCATCGCACCTTTTTGCTATAATGTCAAGGGAAGAGGAGATAGAAAGGGTGAAAACCGTTCTTAGTAAGCTGGAAAAACCTACAAGTATATGTTCTTTGGCATACTCGGGTAAGTTTCCACCTTCTTTTGGATTAAATGTCTCGGATACGCCTTTTAACCATTATTGGATATTGGACTCCGGAACCACAGATCACATGACACCATTAGCCAAACACTTCTCCACATATTCCCCATGTCCCAAGAACAAGAAAATTGCCACAACGAGATGGAACCCTTATAACTGCAGCTGGTCAAGGAAATATCCAAATCAATCCTTTAATAACCTTAAAAGATGTTCTCCATGTCCCAAAGCTATCCACGAACCTAGTGTCTATACAAAAACTTATAAAGGATTTGTCATGTAAAGTTGTTTTTTTCAACGATCATTGTGTATTTCAGGACAAGGATTCGGGGAGGATGATTGGACATGCTAGAGAATGGAATGGACTTTATTATCTCGAAGATAGCCTGCCCAGCAAGAATAGAATCTCTCACTCCTTCATATCTGAATCCTTGATGACCAACAGAGAAAAAATCATGCTTTATCATTGTCAGTTGGGACATCCTTCTTTTGGAGTGATCAAAATTATGTTTTCCTCTCTGTTTACCAAGTAAGATGTTGAGAGTCTTCATTGTGAGGTGTGTGAACTTGCTAAGCACAAGCGTATATCTTTTCCAATAAGTAATAGAATTAGCAATGTCCCTTTCTATCTTGTCCATACTAATGTATGAGGACCTTCTAATATTCCAAATGTGTCTGGTACTCGATGGTTTGTCACCTTTATAGATGACTGTACAAGGGTCACTTGGGTTTTCCTACTTAAACAAAAATTAGAAGTCAGTTCTGTCTTCCTAAACTTCCACTCCATGATAAAAAATAAGTTTGGTGTTAATATTAAGAGGCTTAGGTCAGATAATGCCAAAGATTACTTCAATCATGTCCTTAATTCTTTTTGTCAAAAAGAAGGTATAATTCATGAATCCTCTTGTGTCAAAACACCACAACAGAATGGGGTTGCAGAGAGGAAAAATGGACATCTATTAAATCAGACTCGGGCATTGTTGTTCTAAAAAAGTGTCCCAAAAAATTTCTGGGGGGAAGCTGTCCTTATAGCAACATACCTTATCAATAGACTACCCTCTAGAGTCTTAAGATCAAAAAGCCCTATGGAAGCTTTGTCGTCTTTCTATCCAAACTTGTCTACTACAAATAATGTTAAACCAAGAGTTTTTGGGTGCATCTCATATGTCCATATTCATAGTATAGACAGGGGAAAACTTGATCCTAGAGCCTTAAAGTGTGTCTTTGTTGGTTACTCACCCACTCAAAAAGGGTATAAATGCTACCACCCCCCATCCAAAAAATTTTGTGTCTAGCGATGTTACCTTCAATGAACAAGAGAGCTATTTCCATCAACCTTATCTTCAGGGGGAGAGTTTCAGGGAAGATAAGGAAGATAAGGAAAGTAGTAATTTTGGTTTTCCCATTCTTCCAGACTTGACATTTGAACCTAAACAAAATCATATTGAAAGTAGTAATTCTGGTTTTCCCATTCTTCCAGACTTGATATTTGAACCTAAACGAGATCAAATTGAAGATTAAATTGAAGTTGTAACAAATGAAACAAGTCAAGGAATTGGTCAAGAAAAGGAAGTTGGTCAAGAAAGTGAAATTAATTGTGAAACTGATCAAGAAGATGTTGAAGCTGGAAAATTTGGTAAGAAGCTGGTATACTCAAGGAAGACTAAGGTCATTCCAGGATCTAGCCATGTTCAAGAATCCAACTCGACTCCACAAAAAGAGGTAACAAATTTTTCTGCAGCTGTGCAGGTTGAAATTGAAACCCAAAATGATCCTGACCTCCCAATTGCCATTAGAAAAGGAACAAGAAAATGCACCAAACAGCCACTCTACCCTCTCTCAAACTACCTGTCCTTTAAAAATTTCTCTCCTACCCATAAAACCTTCCTAGGAAACCTAAACACTACACTTCTACCTAATACCCTATCTGAGGCATTGTCTGACAGAAAATGGAGGCAAGCCATGAATGTAGAGATGGAGGCATTGGAGAAGAACAACACCTGGGAGTTAGTCACCTTACCAATAGGAAAGAGGCCAGTTGGATGTAAATGGGTCTATACAGTGAAATACAAGGTTGATGAATCAATTGAGAGATATAAGGCAAGACTAGTTGCCAAAGGGTTCACCCAAACCTATGGAGTTGATTATTTAGAGACCTTTGCTCTGGTTGCCAAAATGAACACAGTTAGGGTGATATTGTCCCTTGCTGCCAATTATGGTTGGACTTGGAACAATTTGATGTTAAGAATGCTTTCCTACATGGAGACCTTGAAGAAGAAATTTATATGGAGATACCTCCGGGATATGGTAAAGATGTTGTTGTTTGTAAGTTGAAAAAGGCATTATATGGGTTAAAACAGTCCCCCCGTGCATGGTTTGACAGGTTTACTAAAGTTATGATAGGTCTGGGTTACAAACAAAGCCAAGGGGACCATACTTTGTTTTTTAAACATTCCAAGTCAAGGGGAGTAACAATATTATTGGTGTATGTGGATGACATAATATTAACAGGAGATAATAAAGAAGAGCATCAATTATTGAGTCAATGCTTAGGCAAGGAATTTGAGATCAAGACCTTGGGAAAACTAAAATATTTTTTGGGAATTGAAGTTGCCCACTCCGAGAAAGGGATATTTAAATCTCAGCAGAAATACATCACTGATTTGCTTAAGGAAACTGGCAAGGCAGCTTGCAAACCTGCTAGTACCCCATTAGAACCAAACCTAAAGCTTGGAAATGCAGAAGAAGATGTTGTTGAAAAAGATATGTACCAAAGATTAGTGGGCAGACTTATATATTTGTCGCATACCAGGCCAGATATTGCCTATGTAGTGAGTTTAATTAGCCAATTTATGCATAGCCCAAAGGAGACCCATTTACAAGCTACCCACGAATTTTACGAGTACCTTAAAGGAACTCCAAGAAGAGGGATTCTATTCAAAAGGAATGGTAATGTGAAGCTTGAAGCCTATACTGATGCTGATTATGCGGGGTCAATTGTGGATAGGAGGTCAACTACGGGATATTGCACCTTTCTTGGAGGAAATCTTGTGACTTGGAGAAGCAAAAGCGGGTGTAGTGGCTCGATCCAGTCTTTGAAGCAGAATTCCGAGCCATGACACAAGGTATATGTGAGTTGCTATGGCTTAAAATCATCTTAGAAGACTTGAGGATAAAGTGGGAAGAACCTATGAAGCTCTATTGTGATAATAAGTCAGCAATTAGTATAGCCCATAACCCAGTGCAGCATGATAGAACAAAGCATATTGAAGTAGACAGACACTTCATCAAAGAAAAGCTTGATAGTGGCTTGATATGCACTCCATATGTGTCCTCTCAAGACCAAATTGCAGACATTCTTACCAAAGGACTGGGCTGCCATAATTTTGAGAAGATTGTATCCAAGCTGGGAATGGAAAACATTTATTCACCAGCTTGAGGGGGAGTGTGGGAAATCAAATAGTATTTTAGAAAAGAATAAATTAGGAAATTTGTATATTTCCTTGTAATCTGTACATATTTGAATAATTAGGAACAATCCCATAAATCAAGGGATCCTAGCATAAAATAGAGTTATTATATTTCCTAAAATAGCTTAGGTCTCCTGCATATATCTTATATCATCTCTTTGTATTGATATAATAAAAATCATATTTCAGTTAATCTAATTTTCCAGAAGTATTAATTAAAATTGAAGGACAAATTCATGAATGGTTTTACATGAGCCACCACCTCAAACAAGAGCTGTTTGAGCTTGAAGCATGAACAAACCCATTAGTACACTTTATTTTGTGTTGAAATTCAACTTTATACTGCAAGAATGAGGGCAACAAGATCAAACACTTGAACACTTGGTCATGCAAACTCTTATACCATGTTAAGGGACAACTTCCATAAAATCTTAAGCTGTTGGGCTGAGCCTTATGAACAATTTTATATTAAACAATATAACAAATTTTGGATGGATGAAATGTCTTCCTCTGTACACAATGTCTACTAAACCAATTTTCTGATCAGCTCAATACAGAAAAATGGTTTAGATACACATCTGAAGTCCTTTTTCGTTACTATTTCTCTTTGTTGGTCAATATTGACACCTCATTTATCATGGCTGCATCCACACATATATTCAATGTGACTTTCCCAAAAATGTGGATGATTGTTTACTTTTGCCCGACAGAATTGTTTGGAGAAGTCTTTGCGTAAAGCTAAACACATGTTCTATTATTTATTGGTTGTTTTATTATTAGTTGCAGTGTACTAAGGTGACAAATTAACTAATACCTAGCCAAACTATCTGCAATTGATCATTCCAAAGTGATCAACATAAATACACTTCACATTATATTCGAATAATGCTAAAGTTTTAACATAAAAGTTAATATCCTAATTAGTTTATCTGTATTTTTTCTTCAGTGTTCTGACACCCTATTTCAAGGAAGATGTTTTATATTCTGATGATGTACTCAATAAGGAAAATGAAGATGGGATATCAATTTTATTCTACCTAACCAAGATATATCCTGGTGAGTATTTTTATATGCTTACTTATATTTCTGTCCCTCTTTTGTACATGTGCACTCATTTACTGTCTGACATTAATGTACTGTAGATGAATGGGCCAATTTCCATGAACGACTAAAAAGTGAAGAACTTGAAGAAGATAAGGAGGAGTCAATTCGGCGGTGGGCATCTTACAGAGGGCAGACACTCTATCGAACAGGTCTTGATTGTAATGAACACTATTTTCATTGTTAGATTTGAATATTCATGCCAATTTAAATGTTATTTTCAACTTTTTTTTTGTTAGTGAGAGGAATGATGTACTATTGGCAAGCTTTGATCCTTCAGTACTTCATAGAATCGGCTGGAGACAATGGTTATTTCTCTATTTTCAGTGTTCAATTTTGAATTCTAAGATATGCATAAGCCATTCATTCATAAATGAAATATACATCTTTTCTCTTCCAGCTCTCTCTGAAGGCTTCCGGACAATAGATTCATTTGAAAAAAATAAGAAGCTTCTTGAAGATGCACACGCTATGGCCGATTTAAAGTTCACCTATGTTGTTTCGTGTCAAGTGTATGGTTCTCAGAAGAAGTCCAAAAATAGTAGAGACAGAAGCTGCTACACTAACATTCTCAATCTGATGTTAATGTGAGTCAATACAACCAGTTGCTGAACTTTATGATTTCCTTGAATTTGTAAAACAACAATGGAATTGAATGGAAAACCGAAACATTCCATGCAGGTATTCAGCCCTTCGTGTTGCTTACATTGATGAAACAGAAGAGACAAAGGATGGAAAATCTCAGAAAGTTTATTACTCCGTTCTTGTAAAGGGGGGGGACAAGTATGATGAGGTATGGATAAAAAATCATTTTCATGTTTTTTGCAAGTTGTGTTTTTTCTATATTTATTGGCATTTGATTTCTATGATCTGCCAGTGTAAATGTTTTTACACTCATCCAATAAGAAATCATGCTAGATATGTGATAGATACTGTAATTATGATGGGAATGATACAAAGAAATTCAGAGAACAAGCTCTAATTACAATGAAAACTGCAGGAAAATATCAAAAGTTAAAACTGAAAAAGATTAAATATAAAAAACAGTGCTTTTCTGCCCTGTGACCCAAGCCACTACCAAAAGTACCTCCACTGCACACCCTATAATATGTCCTTTCCTATAGTTTCTGTACCCTCCTCTACAGTATGCTGCTGCCAGGTGTCTTCTCTGTCAGACAATCATAAAAGAATTCTATATCCATTTTCTATACTACCTTTGTTCCTTCTTTCTGTTCTATTTTTTACTTTTATCGTGTTAGTGTATCTGTATATCAGTTACTGTAGTCCATAAATTCTAATACGTAGTCTCTGTAGTAGGTGAGCCTAATCTCTGTAACTGTATCTCAAGTTGTTACAACTGTTTTGCTAACTGTCACATCAGTGCCCGGTTAGCAAGTAGCCATAGCTTGCGAAAAATTCATCATATAAATATGTACTTCACTGAATATTTCAGAATTAATTAATAAAATATTTCTTTCTCTTAGATTATAATATATTGCAGGCCCATTGTGTTGAGTTGAGTCCCATTAATATGATATTTAAGTTAATTATTGTGAAAGTAAGCCAACTTACCGTACATGACAATTTGTGATTGGATTTAGTGTAAAAACCCCTTACATTGTCAGTGCATAGCCTATTTATTCAATTAAAATGTTATAAACTAAAGTTTTGTTTTGTACACTTTTTCTTTGAAGAAATATCTGTGCTCACTGTAAACGAAAGAAAACTGTGAAATCTGATGACTGTTTAATTTGTTATTGCAAAAGTGAGAATGTGAAGAATTAAAAGTTTCTCTAGGGTCTCTTCTTTTTCACTCTAGCATATGGTGTTGCCTTCTGTTGATGTTTATTGATTGAATAATCTAGCATTAACTTGTAGAAAGAAATTTGATGCATCTGGCATGTGACAATCATAGTGAGGTTTTTCAGTTTGATTAGTAGTTTAGAGAATCCTGAATCGGTTGGAGGCTGCTAGTAAATTATCATATTGGATAGAATGCATTTAATCACTTTGGGCAAAGAGAAAAGCTGGCATAATTCTCCTGGTTTGTCTCTTCCAAGCTTTGGAATCTGGATTCCATATTAACATAGATTCAAAGAGATGTTAGAATTATAAGAATTTTCCTTATCCTCTAAGATTAATTTTACTGATCCTCGTTATATCTTTGAATGGATTCCGATATTTTCTTATCTTATCATGATTTGTTTTCCTAATTGCTTAATATAATAATTAGTATACATAAAGGTTAGTTCTCTAGTTTTTATGAACATACCAGCACATCTGTACTTTGTAATATGTCCAAGTTAATATCAGTGTTTAATTCTTCTTTATCTCTCTTCCTCCCTCAATACATAAAACTGCATATTTTAGTTTTAATTCAATATATCGCGAATGGAATGCTTGACTTTCTCAGTCTGTGCTGTCTTTTATTATATTACCTATTTCCATTGTTGAAAAGAAAAAATTGAAAGTAGGCAGAAATTCAAATAAAAGGAGCATTTTACCTCGTTTCTATGCAACAGTAAATGACATATTTTTGACAATGGAGAAATCAATATGGAGCAGATACAAGGTGAAGCAAATAGAAACATTTAAACACTACAGCTATAAAAATTCTAGAATAAAAGATTATTAGGGTGCAAAAACTAAAGGATGTTATGTTAATTGTATGGTATAAGGTATAAACTGAAGGGGTTTTCTATTCTGTGTTACTGTTGTATATGATGAAATAGTTTGATATTGTGCACAGGTTTCTCAATTCATGTTAAGTTGGTTTGGCGTTTTGGACAGCCTTAAATATAATTCAAATTATTTTACATTGCATTACTAGGAAATATATCGCATCAAGCTACCTGGTTCTCCAACCGAAATTGGTGAAGGGAAACCTGAAAACCAAAATCATGCCATTATATTTACTCGTGGAGAAGCCTTGCAAACCATAGACATGAATCAGGTAACTTTTCCCTGGACTTCAATTTAATATGAATTAAGTAGAACTTTCTGTATAACTCAATGCCCCTAATTCATTGTTTCTTCTGTTAAGGATAACTATTATGAAGAAGCTTTTAAAATGAGAAATGTATTGGAAGAATTCCGGAAAAGAGGTAGTGGGAGACAGAAACCCACCATATTGGGTATAAGGGAGCATATATTTACTGGAAGGTCTGCTTTGTGACAATATCAAATGTTAAATATCATTTGAATTAAATTTTTCATGATGAAGAAAATATATACTTCTATGTCATCAAAATTGAATTGGCACAGGTTATTTATGCCAAGGTGTTTCTTATTATGCAGTGTTTCTTCACTTGCTTGGTTTATGTCAAACCAGGAGACTAGTTTTGTGACCATTGGCCAACGAATTTTGGCAAATCCTTTAAGGTTAGTCCCAATTTTTTTGTCCTGTCCTGTGATACTGAGTGTAAAATCATTTTAAATCCCATGGGATTTTCATCTTGTTTTCACACCTTTTTCACTCTTTACCTTATTTTCTATTTTGCTTCCTCCACTTAGTAAATGAACAAGAAAGGGTTCAATTTACTATTTATCTACTTTCCCGCCTGAAATCCCTTAAGCCTTAAAACATGAACAGAGCAGAGACATGTCACTACTCTGTGGTGCAGTGCAACTGAATTTAATGCAAGAGTAGGACAGTCTTGCTTTTTTCTCTATGAACTAAACTTTTTTCTTTACTTCATTTAAGTAATCCATATTTCTGAATTTGCAGGGTCCGCTTTCATTATGGTCATCCTGATATATTTGACAGAATCTTCCACATAACAAGAGGTGGCATAAGCAAAGCATCAAAAGTTATAAACTTAAGTGAAGATATATTTGCAGGTACTAAATTGTAAATGCTATCTGATGGATCCAAATTTTCTACAAATTGCTCTTTCAATTCAAATCCACATTCCTGAATTATGTGGATGGGAATTTTGAACTAATTGTGCTTAACATCCTCAGGGTTCAATTCAACTCTACGTCAAGGATTTATCACACATCATGAATACATACAAGTAGGTAAAGGGCGTGACGTGGGCATGAATCAGATATCACTCTTTGAGGCTAAGGTTGCAAATGGAAATGGAGAACAATCACTTAGCCGGGATGTTTATCGACTTGGACGGCGATTTGACTTCTACAGAATGTTGTCATTCTACTTCACAACAGTTGGTTTCTACTTCAGTAGCATGGTAATTAATCAAATCTCATTTCGGGGATATTATAAGATAGTCTAAGATATATGGATAAAAACTATCTGCAATTCTGCATGAAATGCATGATTTCTTAAGACTTAATTTAAGCACTTGTCTTTTTTGTCTAGACACTTGTACAACATAAAACAAGGAGGGTAGACAATGCTTAATAAGTATTGAATATGCACGATTCGTCTAGTTTAGAGAAACCTCAATTTGGTCCACACATATGTCACCACATTACTCCTTTAAAAGAATTAGTGACCATATATTAGATTAGTCTTACTCTAATGTTTAGTCTTTCAAAAATTTGTTATGTCAACAACACTTTAGTCTTCCGCAAGGACTTGTATAGTGACATTTTAGATCTTTGTGGATATATTTTGGTGATAAGATTAGAGGACCAATGTGGTGACAATTTAAATCTTTGAAACATTAATTTGGTAACCACAATTTTTGAAGGACATATGGTGAGATTGTGTTTACCTTTAGAAAGTCGAAAATAGAAAAAGGTATATCTTCTATCAAAATCGCATTGCCTAATCTGGTATTAGATGTGAATAAATTCCTAAAGTTTAAAGAAATCTATGATAATCAACTTAATCTTTTAGCTAGTGTGTTTTATTGACTATATAGTGAAATTTTGCAAAAAGTAGAACGTAGGACACGACAGATATTACCAGACAACTAAATAGAAAAGCACATCTTTACTTTTGTTGTTTAAAATGAACTTGTGCTAACGCCTGTATTTTGGACGTTATGAATTTTTCAGATAACTGTGTTGACTGTGTATGTGTTCTTATATGGACGTTTATATATGGTTTTGAGTGGTGTCGAGAGAGAAATTCTTCAAAGTCCAAACATACATCAAAGCAAAGCCCTTGAAGAGGCTTTGGCAACTCAGTCTGTTGTTCAGTTGGGCTTACTGCTTGTGCTGCCTATGGTTATGGAAATTGGCTTGGAGAAGGGATTTCGCACTGCCTTGGGTGATTTTATCATCATGCAGCTGCAGCTTGCCTCTGTGTTCTTTACTTTCCAGCTTGGAACAAAAGCTCATTATTATGGAAGGACACTCTTACATGGGGGCTCTAAATATCGACCAACTGGTCGTGGATTTGTTGTGTTCCATGCAAAGTTTGCTGATAACTACAGGATGTACTCACGCAGTCATTTTGTGAAGGGCCTTGAGATACTCATACTATTGATTGTTTATGAAGTCTACGGGGAGTCATATCGCAGCTCACATCTATATTTGTTCATAACAATCTCAATGTGGTTTTTGGCCACTTCCTGGCTGTTTGCTCCTTTCCTGTTCAATCCTTCTGGCTTTGATTGGCAAAAAACAGTGGATGATTGGACAGATTGGAAGCGGTGGATGGGAAATCGTGGTGGTATTGGTATTTCAGCTGATAAAAGCTGGGAATCTTGGTGGGATGAAGAAAATGATCACCTGAAACACTCAAATATTAGGGGAAAAATACTTGAGATAATTCTTGCATTTCGCTTTTTCATGTACCAATATGGAATTGTCTACCACATGGATATTACTCATCATCACAAAGAATTGCTGGTAGTGTAACTATTTTTGTGTAACCCCATTAATGGTTTCATGTTCTATTGCACCGTCTTACTACTACCTATTTTTTTTTCCTTGTAGGTATTTGGACTTTCTTGGGTAGTTTTAATAATAGTACTTATTGTATTGAAGGTATGTAAATTCTAGCTGAAGATCAAGAGTGATTTCCTATAAGACCATTATTGCTTCAATTTAAGCCTAATCAATTGCTACATACAAAATATTATTAACTAGAGTGAAGTTTTGCTTCTAGCTTAAAATTTAGACATAAAACCTTTGTTTTCATAAAATAAAGTGAGCTTTTAGACCATTTTAGCCATTGTACAGTTAAAATTCTGCAGTACTAATTCATGTGTTCTTCTGTCTGTAAATATCAGATGGTATCCATGGGAAGACGAAGATTTGGCACTGACTTTCAGCTCATGTTTCGTATTCTCAAGGCCCTTCTCTTCCTTGGCTTTTTGTCAGTCATGACTGTATTATTTGTGGTGTGTGGACTCACCATATCAGATTTGTTTGCTGCCATTATTGCCTTCATGCCCTCTGGATGGGCCATTATTCTGGTAAGTTAAAACGTGTGCATGTTAGAGAAGCATAACAAATTTTGCTCTTTTTGTCAACTTGGCCCTATTTGAATAATGTTTTCACCAAGCACTTCCATGAGAAGAAAATAAGAAGACAAAATGAAATAAATTTATCATGTAAGCTAAAATTGATTTAGTACTTAACTTTTCTAGAAACTCTCTCGTTTAACTTTCCAAAATCTGAGATACATAATTTTATTTTAGCTTGTGTCAAAGAAACTAAATTCATTTTACCTTCATATTTTATTTTCCCATAAGCACTTCTGAAAACGTTTATTCAAATAAAACCATTATCTGACATGCCTGAGGCAAATTGAAGAAATATTGCATTATGTTATACTTGCACACACCATCCTAGACAATTTTCTAAGGAAGAACTTCATTCATCCAAAAAAACTGATGTTCCCTTCTTTTTTGCATTCAAGATTGCACAAGCATGCAAGATATGCTTGAAAGGAGCTAAACTATGGGACTCAGTGAAAGAGCTATCCAGAGCTTATGAATATGTGATGGGATTAATAATATTCTTGCCAACAGCCATTTTGTCATGGTTCCCATTTGTGTCAGAGTTTCAAACCCGGTTGCTATTCAATCAAGCATTCAGTAGAGGGCTTCAAATTTCAATGATTCTTGCTGGAAAGAAAGACACTTACAAATCTGATTGAAATATTACTGAATTACTAAGGTAAAATCTTGAATGTGCCATGCATGAAAGTTATTTTTGTACCATGCATTATATACTTTGCTCACTGATTTCCAATGTTTCAAAATATTGGCAGGAATTTGAAGTTTTTCAAATTGGAGAGAAATTGATCTCTCACATACTAGGATTTTTGGGAGTTCATAGGATTCCCTTTTCCCTTTCACACTATATTTTAGTGAGAGAATAGGAATGACAAATGACTAAAGCAGGACTTTGACATTTTGAAATTGCATAATTGTATCAGCAATGTATATGTATATGATTGTTATATACAATATAAAGCGGATTCAGAGGTCAACATCATTGTTACTCATTACAGTATAATTTAATTAAGAATTTTTTAGATTATTTACATATTAAAACTTTCATGTTAGTTTACATTCTGTTTGGATTTTAAAAGGGACAAGGATGTTGTATCTTAAATAAAGCTATCTAGATTTTCCTTTACATGTGCCTCTTGTATTGTTGTTTCATTCTGTATTTGGAACTAAAGAATCACTGAGGCATTGCAAACAGATAAAAAACTTTTACCAGTGAAAGACAAGTTACAAAGCTAATAAACCAACCATATTCTTTTAAATATTTTCAGGATGAATAAAATGTTGACTTTGGCTTTTACAAAAATATATAAATAAATATTTGAGGATTGGTTATTTAAAATAACTATTGTTAGATAGTTGCTGTTAATAAAAAATGTTCAACTATTGTAAGCACTATTTATTTAAAATCAAATTAATTTTAAAATAAAATTAATAAAAAAATCAAATAGATAAAAAAATTATAAATTGATCATAATTGATTGTTGTTTAGATTGACAAAAAATTTAATTTGATTAATTCAGTTTTCGGTTTGTTGTTGTAAATGGAATTGAATTAAAATTATAATATATATTATTAAAATTAAAACATAAGACTGTAATTCTTTGATGGAGTCAATTAATTTTTTTATAATTTATAACATATATTATTATTTTTTTAATTAAATAAAAAATTTATAAAAATAAATTGACATTACGAATATCAGGATATTTTTATAATATATTTTTTATTGAATAATTATTTTATAATAATATATTTAATAAATTTATAATAAAAAATCACAATTTACTTAAATTAATCAGTAAAATATTAATTTAATTTGGTTTAATTTTTTTAAAATAAAAATCCAATCGTATTTAGATTTTTTATTTGATTTGGTGATTTTTTTAATGTAAAACATAATCAAACTATTAGATTTAGTTTGTGTTTTGATTAGGTGATATACTGTTGACCGAAAGGGATTGTTTATTTCTGTTGATTTAAAAAAAAAAATACAGACAAATTAACGTTTCATTCATGAGAGAATGAGAAAAAATACAAATAAAAGAGTGCATATGAATAATTTATCCTTATGAAGTGAAAGGAGCACTTAATCGAATAAATAAATTTGTATAATCAATTATACATTATAGAAAAAAAAATATTATTATATTTATTATATATATATATATATATATATATATATATATATATATATATATATATATATACACACACGAGAGTTATATTAATAATTTATAATATTATAATTATGCATGATTTTTATAATTTTTTATTATAATAAAAACAAAATTATATTTAAATAAAAATTTATTTTTTAATCGTGTTATTAATTTAATTTTTTATTATAAATTTTTTAATTATATTTTTTTATTTTGCACTTAAAAAAAATTTTATACATTATTTTTATTTAATAATTGAAAATTTATTTTAATATAATATTAAATTTTTAAAGTAATTACTTAAAGTTAATTATTTTTTATAAAATAATTTATTTTTATTAAATTTTAATTAAAAATATTTTAATAATTTAATAAATTATTTTATTAATATATTAACATTCTTATATTTAATTATATCAACAATAAAAGTATTTTGATCATTACACAAAAAAAATTAGTTTTCAAATTTTTTATATTCAATCACTAGTTAAACTCTAAAATCCAAACAATTTTTTTTTATCCGGGCAAACTTCAGAATCCACTCTAAATCTTCTCAAATCCATCTTCTCAAATCCCCACCATCCAAACATAAACTTGTACATTGATTTATTTTATAAAATAATAATTTACCTGTGTGGGCAATGTAAGTAGTGGAACTGGAGGGCTTTCGATCCTCATACCATTGAAGAAAATCATTGAAGATAGCAGATTTGTCTGAAGGTACAGACGAAGGAGGATCCACAGCAGAGGATTGTGCGGAAGAATCAGTCTGAGCAACTGTAGCAGATCGGCGAGGATAACCATGTAAAGCATAACATTTGTCAATTTTGTGGCCTAGTTTGTCACAATGGTCACACTTGACACGCCCTTTGCCTGGCTTGTGAGAGCGATTACGATCATCACGGTGAGAGGCCAAGGCAGATGAATCATTAGAAACTACAGGGGGAATATTGAGAGGTTTACATGGCACCCGCAAAAGGGAGGAACTGGTAGCGGTAAAACTGGGTGTAACAGGGGAACCCAAAATCTGGTCACGAACAAGGGCATATTTATCAGCAAGTCCGTGTAACATCAAAACCATGAAAAACTTTGATCGTTGCTCTAATTCTTGGGCAGGAGTCGAGGCAGGGGGTAATAACTCATTAAATTCATGGAGAAGAGCATGGATCTTACCCACATAATCCCTTATCTCGAGGAGCAATAACATCAAGAAGATTGTAACAAACACCATAAAGACGTTGAGTGTCATTGGTGTATAATAATTTGGCTTGTTCCCAAACGTCATAACATGTGTCATACGATCGAAAAATTTGTTTTAAAGAAGATTGGATGGTATTCTTGAGAACCATACATATATGAGCATCAACTTTCTTCCAACGAACACGATCATTGGAAGGAACATCATCTACCTTGGTAGTAAGATGATCCACATACCCCTGACTCTCAAGCCAAAGTCTAATATCAGATGCCCAAGTTGCATAATTCGTACCATCTAATTTATCAATGGGTAAATTCACATTGACATAATTAGTAAAAACAGATTGCTCGGACCCACCGGAGTCGACAGAGGTAACTTCGGAATTGGAAGTGGCGACGGAAGATGCCATGGAGGAAGAGAGAGAAAAACCCTAAAACACCAAAGAGGTCCGATTGGAGCAGCGAGGACAGATCCAGAGAGAGGAGAAGGAGGCGACGCCAGCGCAAAGATCGGTGGCCTGAATGGCGGTGAGACGCGCCGCCACGCGCGGCGGAACGGGAGAAGGTGGCGCGGCTTCGGGAGGCGCGTGAGGGAGCGTGGCTGCTCCGATGACCGCGAAACTTCCACGGTGGAGGTCGCACAGAGGAGGCGAGCAAAACCCTGTGCTCGGCGGTCCGAACTGCTACTCTGGCGACGGCGGCGGCGGCGACGATAGAGGCGGCGACAGCTGCAGGTTCAGTGGCAGAGCCGAAAAAAAATCCCAAGAGACCTTAAGCTCTTGATATCATGTTGAATATAGGGTTAATTTCCCTTATGTATTTACCACACATAGGGCAGTGTATTTATAATAAAGAAAGGTACTCCTCAAAAGAGTAACAGTAATACAAATAGGGTAAATAAAAAGATATTATTTGATATTGTGATTAACAATATCTAACAATATCTCAACAATATCAAACAATATCAACTAATATCACAACTATTAAATTAATATATCTAAATTAATAATTAATTTTATCAATATAATTTAAAATTTTAAAATATATGCTTATATTTGTTTAAAATTATATATATTTTTAAATAAATCAAAATAATGCATTGGTTAATTAGACCATATGAACGATAAAAATTATAATTCATTTAAAATAGTGATTAGGTCGGGATGATTTTAGGTAGTTGGTCATAAATTTAAGAAATTTAAGGGTGGTATGAGATTATGGATTGAATATTTACATTACTATAAAATTTAGGTTAGATTTTAGAAAGAAAAACAAAAGGTATTAACAACTTTTAGATATTACTTAAAAATAAAAAATTCTCATTATTAGAATGTTACATGACAAAAAAATTTTAATTGATTTTAAGATTGAAATATAATATAATATTAATATAATCTACATGAGTATATAAAACTTATATGAAAAAATTTCGGTGAATTTTCTTTCTTTTAATAGAGAAAATAATTTATTTTTTTTCAAAAAATTTACATTCTAAAATTTATATTAGATTTATAAATTATGGTGTATATAAGAAAGATAATAATAATAATAAGAATATATTATTTAAATTTAATTTTTTTAAAAGGTAAAGGTCTATTTTTTTTTTAAAATATCTTAATCATATACTCTTTCTTCTTCAATTACACTCATGTAAGAAATAAATACATTATTTTTACGTTATTATTATTTTTTTATAAAGATTAAATCCATCTATTCATCCTAGTTAAAAAAATCGATATAATATTTTTAAATAATCAAATTTTAATTAAACGAATATAAAATTAGAAAAATAGATTAAATTTTTTTAACTGTTTTAAATAAAATTAAAAATAATTTTTTTAATTATAATTTTTAATTTTTTTCTTTATTTTATATTATTTATACCAATTTTAAATAATAATTATTTTGTTATATTTTTATCTTATTTATAGTTTATCTTCCACTTTTTAATATATTTTATATTTATAATATTTATTATAATTTATTTTAATCATGATAACAATTTATTATTATTATTATTATTATTATTATTATAAAATTTATTATTATTAATATGTTATATTATAAAAATATTATTTTATTAAATCTAAGTAGATAAAAAAATCAATTACATTTTTAAACTTTAAACCTATATTTTCAATCATTAATATGGTTTTAAACATTAGTTATAACTAAATTATTTTTACTCAACTATGTATTATCATATTATTTAAAGGTATAAAATTCTTATTTTATATAATATTATTATTAATTAATTAAAAACTTTGAGTTATTGTATTCAGTATTTTAAAAAATAATAATATTATTTCAGTGGTCATATATATCAAATTTTAAATAAATTCAATATTTTTAAATAAATATTTTTATATGTTATATATATTTATATCAAACAGTCTTTAATAAATAATTAAATCATTTTATTTTTTAAGAAAAATTTTAAACTTAATTTATTCCATGACAAATTTTAATTTAATAATTAAATTATATATATATATATATATATATATATATATATATATATATGAATTTTAATGATAATAATTTAGTTTTCAAACAATAATGATAATAATAGAAAATTTTAATTTCTTTTTCACTCAAAAGTAAATTCATGATAATAACCCTCATGATTAGATGACTATATTAAACTGGATTGCAACATATCAAATGGACACACATGTCTGAAATCTTCACTTCGGTTTCCGTTTCAGTTTCAGACGCCAATCCATGACACAAGTGAAACTAAAGACCAAACACGCTATTCGATCAATTATTCTCCCTCTCAGGTACTAATGTGCAAAACCCTCAATCTCTTTTTCCTCCCATTCGTTTCAAAATGCCATTTTGCTTCCCTAACAACAAGTTTTCTGCTTTTCTTCGGAATTCTTTTTTTTTTTTTTTCTTTGACCCATGTTTTAGTTACCTCCTCCCTTTTCATCAAGTTTCTATTTTCTTTTCTGTTTTAATTGAATTTATAGTTTTTCTGACAGCCGAAAAGAACCCTTAATCACCAAACCTATTAGTAACAACCCACAATATTTATCTGTATTTGACTTTTATTTTATATTTTGCTCTTTCATGTTTTCATTTTGTTCTTACTATTGGTAATTGTCATACAATCTTCCAACCCTTAACAACAAAAGGGGGAAGTGGGAATTGAAGCAAGAATTTGTTTGAAATTAGCAGTAGAGAAGCTGGGAAGAGAATCTAGGAATCTGAAAGTAAAATTTGAAAATTCTAAGTAAGAAAATTAGTATTATCAGATGATACTTCGGGTGAAAATATTTGTTTGGTAGGATAGGGAGTGGTGAAAAATTGAAATAAGCGTGGGTTGGTTTATCTTAGAAACGTTCGGATAGATGATCAAGAAATAAGAAAAAAGAAGAATATGATTTGCTGTAATATTTTTATTTCTTTTTGGCCAAGGACAACAATTTTGTAGGGAAGCTACTTATGTGGTAGGTTGTGTTCTTGTCTTATTTTATCACTTCTGAACAGATGATTTTCATCAGACTATGTGTTCATTGTTTTCTCTCCTCATTCCTGATTATGATGTTAGTGTTACTTTTGTTTACCTCAACAGCTTAACTAAGGGCATGTAATTAAGTGTTGGTACTTGTTTATATACTCATACATGGCACTTTGATATATTCCATGTGCTTGGGCAAGCTTTTGGAAACTAGCACATGTTGTGGACAAGTTTGTTTTAGTGATTAATGAGTATCATTTTAATTTATGCAGGTGGGTTTGAAGTGTTGTGTTACCGGGCTCTGTGACTATGGTTTTGATAAGTGGCAACAACAAAGGGTAAGTTTTGAAGTCTAGCAAAGTGTATTCATTCCATTGGTTTTTAATGTTCCTGTGAAACCAGGACTTTCGACGTCAGTCAGCTCCTATTCCTGATATATATTAACATCCATTTCTCATAGTTCATACAACATGCCTGTTTCTGAACAATATGTTCCATCACTTGTTTTCTTATTTCAACCCTCTTATGTGCACCGAATAATCATGTGTGCACGAGGTTGTTCCTCAAATTATATCTGGTTAAAATTTCTCTTCGAAAAAAATAATATGCACCAAACAATCATGGTATGCCACACATTCATCTCTCTGCAATTATTTATATCATGTGTTTGTCTGATTCTTATAAAAAATTGCCATTTTTTCACACTTACTGATACTATTCATTTGAAGAGTAGACTTCTTTGGTGCTTTCAGTAAATTTTTTATTTGTCACAGAATGTGGATTACTTTTTCATAGTTTGTCGAAGAAGTTTTGTGTGGATTAAAGAAGCCAAGCTTGTTTTTGCTAATGTGGAATTTATGCTGTTATCTAACGTTTACATCTCTTGGTTGGAGAATAATCTTAGAATCTGTAAGGTTATTTCTTGCTGTTGCCAATTTAATGAGCTAAAGTAATCTTGTAGGATTCTTTTTGGTTCTTGGTTCTTGGTTCAGATATTGGTAATTTTGGAGAGCTGTTCATGCTGCATAAGTAGAGACCTTGGGGAAAGTTTTTCTTATCTGATGTCCTTTCTTGCCTCCCTTTTTCTTAACTTCTTGGGTTATGTTACTATCTTTTCTTATACTTTTCTCATTGCTAAGGATTTCATGTTTTCATCAAATGAGATATTATTATGCTATTGTTTTTTAGTTGTTCCTCTTTTATTGTATGATTGTGAAGTCATCAAATCCTCAAAAAAATTTACGAAGTGAAACTATTCAACTACTCACTCATTGTAGGTTGGGCTGTGTAAAGTGATCTCCACATATGATATGGAGAGGCTGCTTAGGTTAAATTCTTTAAGAAGCACTGTTTGATAATTATCTTTGTTATCAAAAGAGTTGCTGAGATTTCTCTGAATGGTATTACCAATGTTGTGAAACAAAAATGAAACTTTAATTTTGATGGCATGGATGCTTACAGGCAGATCAGCAGATGTTGTATAGACTGATAACAGGCATACACTTTCTAACCTGTTTGATTATCTTTAATAATTGATCTATGTTAATCTGATGTTTGGCAGCAGTGTCTTACAACAAACAAATGATGAGAGGGCGAAAGCACAAGGTATAACAGTGCTTCAGAATTCGCACCAGCAAGTAAACAAGAATGTTGAAAGTGGGCGGACACAGAATGTGGTCAATACTGGCTTGACCAAAGCAATGACAACAATGGATGAATTCAAGTGTGGATTTCCATCAGGAGGCTTATCAGTCACTTCAAATAAATGGTGGGGAAATAGGGACCATGATGATTGTGCAGGAACTAATGCCAATGGAGCAAAGACTCTACCTGAGGAGAAAGCAGGGGAAGAAGACAAGATCGAACATGAAACAGGGAAAACAGAAACTCCTCATGGTTCATCTTTATTGAAAGCTGTGAGGAAAAGGGCTGTGGAAGATGGAAGAGAAGCATTGAAATTAGGAGTTTTTGGAGGCTATGGCGCAAAAAAGATAAGCAAAAGGGAGAAAATATTGCTCCACCAAATATTCGGATCTTCGTTGCCAAAGTCATGAATGGAAACATGATTAGTAGTTTAGAGTCAGAGTAATTCTGCATAGCTCAATACTCTGTGATTTACTGCATTGAATGCTTTACAAATAAATGAGATTTCAGTGGGATGGTATCTGGAGCTATTCTCATTTGTCACTCTAAATTTCTTGAGGGAACTCAAGATATCCTTTTTGTCTGTCATTAAGGAAGGACTAATCTTTTTAGATACTGAAATCCATTTAAAAGATTAAGTTCTATCAAGAGATATTTTTTCAGTCTGGATAAAACCCTTCACATTCTTAAAAACCAAAAACTTTTTCATGTCATACTATGATGATCATGTGACACTTATTAGATTTTGATATACAGCTAAATGAGAGAAAAAGAGGACCAATAGATGAAACTTGACTAGAGTGAGGTTTAGAATTAGCTTTCTACGACTATGGACAGACTTCTACTGAAAATGAATTGTTTAACATTGTGTTGAAGGCCACATGTCCACCGTTGAAGTCCCACATTTTTGTTTTCACATTTGACTGTGGTTTTCATGTAAATTACCCAGGAATCCTACGATGTACGTGCTTTCTTGCAGTTGAATACAACAATCCACGATACGATGCATCGAGTAACGCAAAGGGGATATTTATGTTTTAAATTCAATGTACGTTGTTATCTTATACAATTGCTATTTGTTACATGTGATAGATACTTAAATTTGTAATTGCAAAGAAGTACTTAATAGTTATCATGGATTACTCCTTGGATAAGTTTGTAACAGTAACAACTCATACTTCTAAAGTATTATAGATGTTTTCTATTTCTATAGATTTTTTTTTATTTTTCTAAAATTTTAGTTATATTTTCTTAAAAGAATTACACTTTGGGCCTGAAAATTTAAATGGACTCAAAATATTGTCATCACAACAACAAAATGGTTATTATTTAAAAAAAGTTTAAAATATTAACTTCGACTATAATTACAATTGCATAAATCCAATCAACTCAACAATAAAATTGGGGGTATGGACTTTTTTGCAAGCTAATGAATTGCTACAGTCTAGACTCTTTAAGACACTCATTTAGTATCGTTATACTTTTTTCCTATATCTCCTTGTTCATCTAAAATCACAATTATGTTGTCGTTAGTATAATAAGTTCTGAATTTATTTTTCTGAAAATTTGTCATTTCTAGAAATATTTTGGAAAGGCCTTTTCAAAATTTTTTCATAAATATTTCAGAAAATTAATTTTAGAATGTTTTTGAAAAACTTTTAGAAATGTCAATCCAATTTTTTTTTTTAAGTCCATTTTGAAAATATTTTGAATTGATCTTTTTGAAAGTATTCTGAAATCATTCTTTTGGAAATATTTTAGAAAACTTAGAATATTTCCTTAAGTTTTGAATATTTGAATATTTTTAGTATATTACTTTTCAACAAGTTTTTATAATAGTGGATCTGGAATAATAATATCCACAAGACTGTTCTTGAATTTGCTACATTTACCTTTTTATTTTACCACTTTTCTCAATGTTTTGTGTTTCTGTCACATCTGTTAAGAAAGCCGGTCATGACTCCTTTTTAACTTACCAATATTTTTATGATTTTGATGTCTTAAATTTAATAATTATTAAATATATTTATTTGTATATTTATAATTTTAGTCTTTTATATTTTAGTTTTTTATATTTATTTATTATTTATTAATAATATATTATTTGATTAAAAAACTAAACACAAATAAAAAAATACTTTCTACAAATAACTTAGATAGTAGTCTTACTCACAAAAAACTTGGTAACGATAATATTCCTTATGACATAAAAGAAGAGAAAAGGTGTAGGTTTATTAAGGTGCCGGTAAAAGATAAAAATATATACAAAACATTTTTATCATTTTACATAGATCATGAAGGTGTAAAAGGAATATACCAAAAATGCAAGAAGAATATGACCTCTTTAAACCAAAACTTTTTAAGGAAGAAATAATGAGGTGCCAAAAAAAAAACTATGAGGTGTAAGAAGAAAGAGTTTATTTAACCCTAACCTAACCCAGTCATGAGACCACGTGAAATGTTGAAGGATAGTAAAGTTTTGTTGAAAATGTGTTGGAAATGAGTTTCCTTTTTGAAGCATATGGCTCTAGGTTAATACCTCTCAAGGTACACAAAACAAGCTCATCACTTTCATGCCATAATCTGAGTAAAGGAGACATGGTGTAGTCATCTTATACACCACCCTTCACCGGGTGGGTTCCAGGCAACCTAATGCAGGCTAGGGACCCAGTTGCAAGCACCATTGGAGATTTACAAGAACACATGTATTGTTGGTTCAAAACAAGAATGTCATAAAAAATAACATGTCACTTTTTATAATTTTTTTTTCTTCAAAATTTACCCTTTGAAATTCCAAACCCTAATCTAATCACGATACCTCACCCAATCAACATGGAATACCACACCCAAACAAAAGAAAGTTAGTAGAAAATATAGCATAGAAAAACCAACCAAATGCACTGTCAAAGTTGCAGAAATTTTCATGTGTGTAGCACTATGATATTCAATCTTGAATGATGTGTTGTCTTTTACCAATTTCTTTATTAATTAAAAAGAAACAAACATAGAGATATTTAATATCTAAAAATATATTTCCTTAATTTAATATTGTAATAAATGATTTATTTCAATAAAAATATTTATAAATTATTTCAAAAAAAAAACGTTAAAAGAATGCAAATATATGGGTATAAATATATACACATGTAGCTTTGTCAAGTATTAAATTCAAGTTCTCATTTTTAATAACAAGATATTAAGTTTTTTTTTCACTTAACCTATTTTTTTTCATTTTGTAATATGTTCCTTTTAATCTTTATATAAAATAAATTACTAGTATTTATTTTGTAAAAAAAAAAGATAAATGTTGCATGTGTTTTCTTTAATCATTATTTAATTTTTGATTATTTATATTAACTTTTATTTTTCTATTCTCATAAATAAAGACAAAATCATGACGAGTTTCAGAGCAGACCCACCTCGAACGTGATAATAAATTATAACAATATATTATTATAGTAAATATGAGGTCAAAATATTTTCATTCCTATCAAAAAAATATTGACGTTCATTATAAGATCAATAATAAAATCTCGTTTCAGTCTTACTTCTTAGTTCTTAATATAAGAATTATGTTTTAATATATTTTTAAATAACATATATTATTTAGAAGTCAAGATCAATAATAATTTATATATATTATTATCTCTTAATCTATCGAGTGATTTTTTAAAAACAAAATTATAAAAGACTAAATTTTAAAGTAAGTAATATCTCAAAATATTTTTGTTTATACAATATATATATATAACAAATATGAAAGAATGTGAGGTCTCCATGTGCATCTCTTGCGAACAAGTTATCCAGACGAGAATGAAAAAGATGTATTAATGGGGATATTGATGGACATTTTTGCAACTTCAAGGTGGCAGCATGTGGAATTTCATAGAGAACTGAAAAGGGAATATGCGTAGTTTCATACCTATTTTACATTTTATATTCTAACTTTATTTTTTATGCATTATAATCACACTTATTTTTGACCTTGTGGGAAGCAAGGAGACTAATCCACTATCTAATTCACAATGCATTTTTAATTGCCAATAAAAGTAAAAGATGTTATGTTATGGCTGGTGCTATGTATATTGGTAAGGAATCAAAAGTTGCAAGATGTTTGTGTATTGGCCATAATAAATTAATGAGTGAGAAGCCAAGTGGGGGAAAAAGTTGCAAAGTCACGTGATGTGCACATGATGCATGTGAAGTGCACTACTCCATGTAAGTTCAAAGATGTTTGGAATTAATTTTCAAAACTTTGGTAGTGTAGGTTAGGTTTGAACTTTTCAAGTATATAATATATGCATGCATGTGGTTCTTCCTCTTTTGATTTGTGTCATCAAATTTTGTTTGCATAATTAGAAATTATTGTCTGCTTGTTGGATAATTTATATGCTTCATTTCTTTTCCCCTTTTGTTGGATAAAAATGATTGTACAAGGTACACAGATAAATAGCATTACAAATTGTTCCAGTAGATGTAAAATATAATATATATATATATATATATATATATATATATATATATATATGATATTTCTATAAATATAAGAGACAAAGAAATAATTTTGTATAGTTTAAAAAAAATTTATAAAATTGAGATAATATTTTATCTTCACAGAAAAAATAAAATTGGACATAATTAATTATGTATATAAATATTATGTATATAATTGAATATATAAATATTATATAATATTTATATACATATTTCTAAAACTTGTTAATAATATTTTTTTTATATTCGTTTATTATAATAATAATAAATAATTAAAAAATATATTAAAATAATAAAAAGTTATTAATAATATATAAATTTATTTAAATTGCCACTCATTTCTACTCTTTCCTTTTAATTTAAAGATTTTCAATTTTTCATTTTCTTTATCACATTTTTTTTATTTACTGAGATTCGCTCTTAAATACAAATAAATAATATAATTTAAAATAATTTTATCGTGAGCTTAATAATCTAAAACTTAACAAAAATAAACAATATATCACAAATCGATTAATCCATCAATCAAACTCTCAATAAATAAACGTAGTAAAAAAAGTTATTTAAACACTGAAAGCAAGTCTTATGAAAAGTTAAATGAGTAATTTTTTTTTATAAAAAAGTTATGGAGAAACTAAAAGTAAATTTTATGAAAAAAGAAAAAAAAACTAATAGTTTTAACAAAAATATATTCAGTGACTAAAAGTAATTTTTATATAAAAAAAGCTAAATATATATATATATATATATATATATATATATATAATATTTATAATGGCTATGAAGTATAATTAATTAATGATTTGAGAAATTATGTAGTTATTAATAAAATCATTATTTTATATATTATTCCGTGAGATTAATTCCATTTTTATATATTATCCGTTTTTGAATTAAGTGAAGTCTTAAACGAAAAGTGTTCGGAATAAATATATATTATCATTTAGTGATAATATTAATAATAAAAACAAAATATATTCGGAGATGATTACATGAACTAAATATTTAAAGATAAAAAATAAACATTTTATTTTTTTAAATAAATTAAAATAAAGTCACGAAATTGTCGTCGGATATGAAGTTTACAACGTCATATTTATTTGAAAATATGACAAATTACTTGTTATCAATAATATGTATATATATAACTTTGTTTTTAAGAAAAGATATTTACAGTATGGAATAAATTTTATATTTCTATTTTTAAGGAGTAGTTGAAAAAAAAATAGAAAACTTGAAAAATACGTTATGTAGTTATTTTTAATGTATAAATTATATTTTAAATTTATACCATAAAATAATGTTATTTTTAACTATTAATAATTTATTTTAAGAGTTATTAAAATTTAATTTAAAAATAAAGATGAAAATTATAGATTAAGAGGAATAAAAAAATATTAAAAATGTCTTAAAATACTATAGCTGAAAGAAAATTCTTCAAAACACTATTGTTAAAGAACAATATTTATTAATAACATTTTTATCCATGATAAAATAACTTCATATCTTAATATTTATGTAGTTTTTTTAAAACCCAAACATAAAATAAAACAAGATTTAATAAGTAAATTTAAGTTAAAATAATAAAATAAATTGTCTTTTTGTAAAACTAGACAAGCTAACTAAGTTTTGAATTAAACCATAATTGAATTAGACTTAAAATTTTGAAGCTTAGACTAAACTTTTTAGTAAATTGACTTATTAGACATGATTGTGTTTTCAATTCCTAATCACAAATAATAATCAATTTCAATCACCAAATTTCACCAATTTTTTTTTATTATTATATGGGAAAATAGTTACACCTAACTTTGTTTGTTTGTGTTGAGACACTAATATTGATGTAGTGTTTTATTTTGATTTAGACCTTGTGAAATGATAGTGAGATATAACACACTTATCAAGTTAAAGGGACAACATGAGATCTCCATTAAATTTCAGAACCAATTACTCAATTAAAAAAAAAAAAAAACCCACCAACTGTGGAGAAAAACATTTTTATATTGAAATTATAATAAAATTTTAGAACAATGACCAACTAATTTAAATTAGTAAGAAAATAATTATGCCTATTATTTTATTCTTATAAATATTGAAAAAGAAAACTTACCAAAACATGTATAAAAATTAAACACAATTCAGTAGTTTGGGTCAATTAGGAAGAAGAGATATGTGGCAAAATTAGGGTTCAAAAAAAGTTTTGATTAGTGTGATGTGATGTGAGTATAAAGATGATTAATTTTGGGAATTAATCTAAAAACTTAATTTTGGGAAAGAAAAGAAAAGTTGCAATGGATTTGTCTGGATCATACTTTAATAAAAAGTTATGCTTAAAATGAAAGTTTGTGTTTCTTCCTCTATTGGTGGCTTTTTCTGCCCCCAAAGCCATGATTATACTCAGAAAAGGTCCAATTTTTAAATCCAACATTACAATTATTTCTGAGAATGAAAAATATTAGGTTTAGGCACCGTATTGTCAAAGTTACCCCTCTCAATTGTTCCAATTTAAAACCCTGATTTCTTAGTCAAACATTCTGCAATCGCGTACTATGTTATAATAAAAAAAACAATAGCACCCGTTTATTTAATAATAATAATAATAATTCACAAACTACATATTATTAATTGATTTATTTTTATATATTTAAATTATGAAATATATTATATTGTTTTAAAGATATATTAAATTAATGTAAAACTGCAGAATTTTTTTTTAAATTACTATTTGTGTTTTTGAGATATTACTTATTTTATTCCACTCCTTTCTTTTGTATTTTATATAAAATTATATAAATATTATTTCTCTTTTAAATTTCGTCTGCGCTAAAATATGTATTTAAATTAATGTTAATAATATATTATATAAGTTATAAACATAAATTAAATATGTGAAAAGAGACAAATATATTTTTATGTTGTACATTTAATGCATTAGCTAATAATGTATTAAATATACACTATAACTTAAATCACATTAAAATAATAATTAATTACCAATTTTTATTTTGAATGTCATTAATATTTTTCAATGAAAACTCATATTTATTTTAGTCTATAACGTACACTTGATATAAGAGAAAAGAAAAGGTAATAAATTTCATTTATGACAAAACTAAAAATTATAATAGGAGTTTCAAACTAAACATAATATAAAATAAATTTTAAATTAATTAAAATTATAAATTGTTACAATATCTTTTTATTAAACTTATATATATATATATATATATATATATATTATTATGTTTAATTCAATTTTATTGCACAACATTACTAAAAACCAAAGACAAATTTCTATTCTCTTATTCAACATAATAATTAGCATTATATTGATTTTTTTAATTTGGATAATAATTTGTTATACATACACAAGATAACCCATACTATATACCTTAATTACCATTTATTAACTAATTAATAAAGTACATAAATGAACTCAATTACAAATAAGGTTCATGAAATTTTAAAATATTTATGTAGCATAAATGAAAACCAGTATTTGATTTTAATAATTAACTAGGCATATTGTTTTAGTTGGTAACAAATTATTCTTCAATTAATATATTATTACATTGTACCACTAAATTCCAATAATTGAAACTAAAAACCACACGTTATTATCAATAAATTTTTCATTAGCACAATGAAATCTGTGGGTACCAATTTAATTATACACTATCAATGACCTCAATTCAGCTTGTCTTTTTCTTTAATAAACTTTAATTTGAGATGAACCTAATTTTACTCCTCTAAATTAAAAAACAAATTAGTATTTTAAATTTAAATAAGTATATTTTTAACCTCTAAACAATAAATTTGAGAAATTAAAACAATTATGTTATAAACTATTCTTAAATTGTGAATAGTAAATTAAAAATGAAAACTTTATTTATTTTAAAATAAAGCATAATTAACTTTTTTAATTATAAAGGCATGTGCAATTGAATCATCATCAACCTAGATAATGGCTAAGCCTGCAAAGTTGCAGAGCCATGACATTGAGTAGAAGGGAACAATCTAAAAATGTTGCCATTACTAAAATTTGCGATCTGCAAGGAACCAAAAAAAAAAAAAGGTTCAGAAAATAAATGTTAATGCCAGCTACACTTCAAAAAATGTCAAAATCTTCTGTCACCCCTTCAGCCTTATGGGGTGTCCAAAATCCACTGTCAATTGCATCAGCATTATTGTGCAGGGACAGCCATGGCATGATGCAATGCTTATGCTACCAAAATTATATCATTTATTCAATTTCTACAATTCATATACTTTTTATCTGTATCATTTTTTCTTTGCTAGACACCATTAATATGCTATGAAACTTTAATACCTCAAAGAATTTATCTTTTAATTGTAGGAGAAGATATTGAGTTAAAACAAAGTAATCTACTTTAGACTTTAATGAGATTGCTTCTCTAATTTTTTCAAATTTGATTTTTTAACACCGAAAATGCTGTTCAAAACCAGAGAGAAAGAGGAAAACAACGGATTAAAGGAGTGTCTTTTTATCTGAAAATCATAACTCTTTGTTGTGATTTTAAAAATTTAAATGATTTTATAAAATAAGCATTTTTGTTGTTGTGAATTTTCTTTTCCTTTCATACAACTAGGACAGTTTGGTAAGTATACCTCAGAACAAGCTAGATTTGGTTTGGAGTTCAACCCTGTTGGATTGAGGTTGACTCTCTCATCAACCCACTTCTTCTTTCTCTCTCCTCTTTTCCTCTCTTCACTTTATTTTTGTTAGCTTATTCAATACACTTTTTGCTTCCAGCTATAAATGCTTCACCTGTTTATTACAATTTTGCTTTCCCTTTACTGTTTCTCTCTCTCTCTCTCTCTCTCTGGTTTCCTCCATTACAAACCAGGTTTCCTTTCCAGCTAGTTAGGTCCCGCCCTCATCCTTAAGCACAGTACCCACCAACCGTTTTCCCCACCATTGCTTTTTCCTTCTCCAATATCTAGCCATTTTCACTCTCTATCTCTCTTTGCATTTCTTTTCTTCATAAAAATAGGATTTTTGTCTGGCATTCCAATAAATTTTTGTTTCTTTATTTCTTTTTATCTTGGTCTTGCCTAGAGTTTATTTGTGACCCACTTGAGGTCACTATCCACTATAGTTTACTGCATATCAGAAACTGTATCTTTTTTGAAGCATCTGGGTTTTGTAGGGCTTCCTGTGCTTTTTTTTTTTCCCTGGTATTGTTCTGGCATTCCTGCACCTATCTATGCTCCTTGAGTCTGTTGGGGTTCAGAGAGAAGGCCCTTTGTTGCTCCTGTGGGTGCTGGAGATAGAGGATCAAGGAGGGTGATTTAGATCAACACAAAGGTGAGTGCTTTGTGTCTTTTAGAGCAACTTTTTTATTTTTTTTGGTTTTTTGGAGAATTGGCATCTGGGTTTGCCTTAAGTGATGCTTTACAAGTTTACTTTTTGGTCTTATTGCCTGGGACAGTAGAGGGATCCTTACTTTTCTTATGAATTGTTAATTTAATGTCGCTTTTCTGATTGGAGTGACATGATCATAAATGGGTTTTTGGTCCAAAATACCTTAATTCCCACAAATTGATTTAATGCTGCTGCCAGATTATGTTGGATTTTGATTAAGCTGTGGAACTAGTGATTAGCTGAATTACTGATTTTTTTTTAAATGTGGATTCACTGCATGAACTTGAAACGTGGCTGTTAATTAGAATGTTCGGATATGTGTGTTGAAAGTTTGTGTGAAGGGAATACTTAACTATGTTCTTGCATTCAGGTGGGAATGTCTTCATTCTAGTCTGAATAGTTTGGTGGATAGATTTGATTGACTTGTGGCATCCAACTATGTCAGCAAACAATTCTTTGCATGTGGAATTATCCAAGAAGACTTCGTTTTTGGGATTGAAATTATGGGTTTTGATTGGAATTGGTGTAGGTGCTTTCATAGTTCTGATTCTTTGTGTATTATCTGTATGGGTGATGTTTCGGAGAAAGTCTAGGAGATCTCTGGACAAGTTCTCTTTGTCACAAATACCAAATGTTTCAAAAGACATCAGAGTTGACAAGGTTGGGGTGCAGACATCTCATGATCAAGCAGAAAGTGTATCTATTCGTGTTCATGAAAAAGCAAGTGAGAACAACCCTGAAAAGTTGTTAGTTCATTTGCGCAAGAGCAAATCCAGCGATGCTGACAATATCAGTCAGTGCAGCTCAGTTTATCATCATGAGAGAGGATTTAGTTCATTGTCAGGGGAAGAAGGAAGCTCCGGGACTGTTAAGAAGCAGTCTGCATTGACATTTGGAGGAATGGTAATTGCCTCTCCTCTAGTTGGCTTGCCAGAAGTTTCTCATCTTGGGTGGGGCCACTGGTTCACACTTAGAGATCTGGAACTTGCAACTAATCGCTTCTCTCCCGAGAATGTGATTGGTGAGGGTGGATATGGGGTTGTTTACAGGGGAAGATTGATCAATGGATCTGAGGTGGCAGTGAAGAAAATTCTTAACAACTTGTAAGAACACTTCATGGTATCATTGGTGCCAGCTTTTATTTTATCCTAAGACTGTCATCTGATTGCTACTATTTCTTGATTGAACAATGATCTTTGAACTTGCTCCACAATTGCGTAATGTGTTGGCTTCACAGGGGACAAGCAGAGAAAGAGTTCAGGGTGGAAGTAGAGGCTATTGGCCATGTTAGACATAAAAATCTTGTGCGCTTACTTGGTTATTGCATAGAAGGAGTTCACAGGTGAACTTGGCGTTCTTAATGTATCAAAATATCACAAATGCACATATTCCCTTCTATACTCAATCACATTACTAGCTTTATTTTTGTGATGGCCTTAGTCTTACTTTCTTTGTCATTTAGTTCTTTGTCTTTTGTAATAAACGTAGTTGCCATCTGATTTGCAGGTTACTGGTGTATGAATATGTGAACAATGGTAACTTAGAGCAATGGCTACATGGGGCTATGAGCCAACAAGGGACACTTACCTGGGAAGCTCGGATGAAAGTTATTACTGGCACAGCCAAAGCGTAAGTTCTATTTGAAAAATCCGATCATAGGACAATATGAATTATTTCTGTTCACTTGTGTAAAATTGGATTAAAAATCATTTTGTAATATAATTATTTGAAAAGTCATATTTAGGGTGATTTCTAAATGGTTGTCATGTTAAACCTTTTATACTCTTAGTGTATCAAAATTAAACTCACTCAGTTTTTAATACAAATCAAAGAATGTCATCAATATCATTTGAGAGAATCTGTTGATGTTGCTATGTTGTAGGATATATTTTGAAATTTATTTGATCAATTAGGATTCTGGACAACACAACTGTGTTTTCTGCTGATCTGCTCTACTGGTCCATAGTTAAATCCCTAAACTTAGGGCGCAAGGAACCTGTTGCCAAGATTATAATGTTTTCCATGGTTTTATGTTGGTTCTTGCTCCATTGGATACCTAACCTAGCATACTGTTATGCCAGTTTCAATATTAGGCCTAGTTCTACTGATTAAGTTCCTTATTTACTATCACTGGTGGCAGGCTGGCTTATTTACATGAAGCAATAGAACCGAAAGTTGTTCACAGGGATATAAAGTCTAGCAACATATTGATTGATACCGAGTTCAATGCAAAGGTTTCTGACTTCGGTTTGGCCAAACTGTTGGATTCAGGAGAAAGTCACATTACTACTAGAGTAATGGGAACGTTTGGGTATGTAAAATATTTTGGTACCTACTTTATAGATTTCTGTAAAGGCTTGCATAAATGGAAACTTACTCCTGTTTCCAATTTCAGTTATGTGGCACCGGAATATGCTAATACAGGTTTGTTAAATGAGAGGAGTGACATTTACAGCTTTGGTGTTCTTCTGCTAGAAGCAGTTACTGGAAGGGATCCTGTGGATTACTCACGTCCTGTTAATGAGGTATGAGTTACTTAAGCAGTACCTAATTTACTGCTTTTTTAACTTCTAACTTCGTTTTGCATGAGAAGTGATCACTGCTCTTTTGTATATTGGATGATATTTTGATTGTCCTCATATCAGGTGAATCTTGTTGAATGGCTCAAGATAATGGTGGGGACAAGAAGGGCTGAGGAAGTTGTGGATTCAAGGCTTGAAGTGAAACCATCAACACGGGCTTTAAAACGTGCTCTTCTGGTTGCACTTCGGTGTGTTGATCCTGAAGCAGAAAAGAGGCCTAAAATGAGCCAGGTTGTGAGAATGCTTGAAGCCGATGAATATCCATTCCGAGAGGTTCCCTTCACTATCTTATCCCCTCATATTTAACTTTTGCCGTAGGAAATTGAATCTTTTATCACAATTTGGAACTTTTGGATGTTGTGTTTTGCTCCCTGGTACCTGACTCACACTAGAATGATTGACACATCATTGGGAGTACATACTTTCTCAATAGTCTTTTAGTCATTCCAGCGTGTTTAAGCTTCTTTTTATGTGGAGTTATTGTTGAACTTGAAAATTTTTATTGATTAATAATGAATAACATGTTCCCGAATTTATTCTCAGAATTCATCTGTCCATACACATACCTTTTCATGATTAGTTTTCTCTAGTTTGTGTATGTGCATGTTTGAATGTATGATTTCCTGGATATTACATGAACTCTTCACCAGTCATTTGTACTGGCTTTGTTAGTTTAAGCTAAACATCTATTCGATATCTCTTCCAGGATCGAAGAAATAGAAAGAGCCGCACTGCCAGCATGGAAATTGAGTCTCTGAAGGATATTTCTGGTCCATCTGATGCTGAAAAGGTGAAAGGTCCTGAAAGCGATGCACCAGTAACAACTCAAGGGTAGGATTGACAACCACACTTGACTTAACCAGCATGTATAACTGGCTTTGTTTCGATTTCAGTAACCAATCAAATACCAATGTTCAAAGTTTGTCCTGAGATTTTATTTTTTACCGCATCCGAGAAGATAATCAAATCAAATCTGAGAGAAGAATGAAGTTGGAGATAGCTCATTTGGACAATTTTATTCAAGATGGTTATTCGAGTATATGATATGATACACCAAATTTGCTAGGAGGATGAAGTCAGGGTGAGTGAACTAGTTGAAGTTGTACATGTACAGATGTCTGCTGAGCCAATCTCTTCCTTACATGACTGCTAATTTGCAGCCATTTTTGTCTGCTTGAGAGTTGAGATGATGTAAAACTGATATTTGGCTTCATTGCAGTTGCCATTTTGTTTTAAGTTAATCATTATGTATAAACTCCAAAAAAGTGAATTTATAATGTCTCTTTCTTTTGAAGTAGCTATGACTTATCGCGTTGATTTCACCATAACTCGAGTCCATATGTGTACTGTCTATGTGTGTTCCTATCACCTTTGAACTGTTGCACATAGAGAAAAATATGTTGTGATTCAATTTGCAACCTACCCAATTGATTGTTGATCAACCTACACCAAATAAACATATTTATCTGTTCCGACAGTATACTTCATTTGAAGGTATACCCGCACCAAATGACACACCAATAGATGGATGATTATATTATTGGTCAGTTTTAACACTGTTATTTTCATGTTTTGATTTAAACTTACATTTAGTTTCTTGGGTTGCGTCATTTGATCCAGTTAATTGGTAATGCTAACTCGACTTTTCTTTATTTAAATTTATTTTTGCCACTTTTTTTTCTCTCATTCCCTCAAAAATATGTTTTAAGTTATCTTGAACATGGAGCATGAATTCTAACAATATGGTTCAAAGTTTCAGATGATGAAATACAACACGAAACTACATTTTGTCCTTGAAGTAAGTCTAACTGTTAGGTATATTTAGTGATGTTGGAGTGGTTAAATGTCATGTTCTTGTTAGTTCACCAAGTACCGTCTGTACAGTAGGAAATAAATTCAAACTTTCCAAGTACCAAAACATCAGTTAATAAATATTGTTGTTAAATGAAACATTTAAAAATTACAATTAAATACATGTAACATCTTGAGATAAAAATGAAAAATTTAAAATATTTTTTAAACATTTATTTTTCTTGTTTTTACTTTGGTAGAGGCTAAAAATTGAAAAACTATATAAACATAATTTTAAAAGAGTAAAATATGTTACTCATATAAAAGGTTGATTTTTGTTAAAGATTAAAGGTCATATTAGATTTCATTTTAAAACAAATTAACATTGAATAAAGTCTAAGAATTATGATAAAGATAGGAGTTTTTTTAATGTATTCTTTTAATATGCTTGCTCTTAGATAGTAAATAGATATGAAGCATTTTCTTATAAAAAAATTGTAATAATAAATAATCTTAGCCAAGTTGGTCTGGATGACTATTATTTAGAATTTATTGGATTGAACTTTGGTGAATGTTAAAAAAAAAAGATCTACCTACAAACTATTATAGGCAAATATAAGTAAAGGTATTTTTGTAAATTCATTTGTGAATAAACTACATATAACTGATCACATATAAGAGTTTAGATGAATTTTCTGCGAATAAAGATTATTCACCATCCTTCTCTCATGTCGACACAAATCAATAAAACTTTTGGGTTTCGTTCTTTTCCTAGAATCCCTATTATTTGAATTCTTTATTTCTTTAGATACCTAAAATTGCTATATTAAGTGGTATCAGACTCTTACGATTTAGAAAAATGATCATCAATAGTAGATTCAACACACAATCAAGTGCTTGAACGTGAAATGGAAGATCGTTTGGAAACACGTCTCAGCTTGAAGATTGACACTAAATTCATGAAACTCGCAAATTTGATATAACAGTCACTACACGAGTCATTGACTCATTCTTGTCTCAACAAATGCAAGAACAATTGCAAGATTTTAGCAAGAATTAAAAGCCTGGGGCAAAACACTTGTCAAATTCTTCAAACCAATTTTGTGGGGAAATGTCTTCTACTTATTCTTGCAGTACCCGATTAACTAGGCTAGAATTTCCAAAATTTAATGGTGATGCTATGAAATAATGGATCCTGCAATGTTAAACTTTTTCTCTATTGACAATACATAGGATGATTACAAAGTACGTTTGGTTATTGTTCATTTTGAAGGTAGAGCACTTTAATGACACAATGTTATGTTAAAACTATAGGATTACCCAATTTACCTTCTTGGCCAAAATACATTAGACTTTTGGTTAAAAGGTTTGGAGAGGTCCGTGATGATCCTATGACAGACTTAATGAAGCTAAGATAATAAGGGTAGTTATAGATTATCATGAGGCATTTGATTCTATTGTTGCTAGATTGAGTTTGTCTGAGGAACAAAAATTGAGTTGCTTCCTTAGAGGGTTAAAACAGGATGTTCAAATGATGGTATGCATGTTCTAGTCGATTTTTGTACAGAAAGCATTTACCTTGGAAAAATTATATGAATCCATCACCAATTCCACCCCAACCTCAAAACCATTCCCTAAACCATTTAAATCTCTCCATGCCAACACGCCCCCTATATACTACCTAACCCACCCAAAACAGTTGACACATTTCAACCTAAAACACAAGCCACAAAGAACCTTACCCCAACCTTCCTATATGAGTGCATGCACGACGTGCCAAGGGTTTATGTTACTTTTGTGATGAACCCTTCACTGTGGAGCATAGTCTAACACACAAAAATTACAAATTCATGTTATGGAAGTTAAGGAAATGATAGAGGCCACGAATGATATGTCCCTTGCTGAAGAAATAGTGGAACATGACATTGCTGACCCTATAATTTCAGTGAATGCTATGACCGGTCTTGCTAGTTTTAAGACTATGAGAATCACTGGTTTGTAAGGTTAAACTGTAATTGAATATGATCTTCTTCCTTATGATCAAACATACATATATAATCCCATACTGTAAACATGTTATGAACTAAATGCGAAAGCGTACCTGAATTATCCATAATGATGATATTCTTTGTAGAGCACCTTTGATTTGATCTTATGGTCTTCCACCTGAAGAGCACCTGCATTTCCCTCTTGATTTTCTCTCTTGATGGGATAGAGAGAAAGGAATGAGACTGTAACTTTGTTTTTGTCTGTGTGCTCTCAGAAGGGGACCATGACCCTTTATATAACCAAAATTAGGTTAATTACTTAAGTTTTAGTATTTTCAATTTGGCCCCTCATCAAATTAAAAAATTACTCTATGGTCTCTACACAATCATATTTTCATGACATATGCCTTTAGCCAAAACTTTAATTTATTCAGATCACTTTATTATTTGGCTTAATAAATAATGACCCTAACACATTTAAATATGTATCATATATATACATGACCCAAATTTTGTCAACAATCTCCCACTGGTCACAAATATATATGTCCTTACAACCTTACAAATGTGTTAGACTTTATGAGCTCAAAATTGTCATTATATTCCTTTAGCATATTCCAAAAGTCCTGTCCATTAATCATATCAGGATATAGAACCAAACCAGCTTTTCATTGTATCATCGCAACTAAAACCAACAAGATTACTCATCCTGACATAACAAAATGACATGGATTCATCATGAAATGTGTAGCATGAAAAATTACGTGAAGGTGATCTGTACACGTCTATTTTCAACTGGTCCAAACTTTAACTTATCGAGATCGATATAGTAACCTTAATGTACAAAGTGTAATGAATGAACAAAAACCGCATATCTATAGATAACCAAATATGTCCAAAAAATCAATGTATACATATATAAAATTAAACATAGAACATAAAATATATGAAAATGACTAACTCTCACTAAACCACAAATTCCTCAAACTGTAAAACACCCATGTGAGCAACATGCTCATGAAAGACCTTGGGCGGAAGTCCTTTAGTTAGAGGATCTGCTATCATGGAGTTTGTCCCCAAATGTTCTATGGAAATTTGTCCACTTTGTACTCTTTCCTTAACAACTAGAAACTTAATGTCGATGTGCTTTGACTTAGTCGAACTTCTATTGTTGTTGGAATACAATACAGCTGATTTGTTGTCACAATATAACTTAAGTGGTCTTTCAATGCCTTTCACAATTTGCAGCCCTGTGACAAAATTTCTCAGCCATATTCCATGATTCGACGCCTCAAAGCATGCTACAAATTCTGCTGCCATGGTGGATGAAGCTGTAAGGGTTTGCTTGACACTGCGCCAAGAAATCGCACCACCTGCTAACATGAAAATGTAACCTGAAGTGGATTTCAAACTATCTTGACATCCTGCAAAGTCCGAGTCAGAAAACCCAGCGATCTCCAACTGGTCTGACCTCCTGTATGTGAGCATGTAATCTTTTGTTCTCTTTAGATATCTCATGACCCTTTTTGCTGCTTTCCAATGGTCCATTCCTGGATTGCTTAAATATCTGCCTAGAACCCCAACTATGTATGTTATGTCTGGACGCGTACATACTTGGGCATACATCAAACTCCCTACAGCTGATGCATAGGGAATCTTTTGCATTTCCTCAATTTCCAAATTTCCCTTTGGGCACTTATTGAGACTAAACTTGTCTCCCTTAGCAACTGGAGTATCCCTGGATTTACATTAATGCATGCCAAACCTTTTAAGAATTTTTTCGATATAGTTCCTTTGTGATAATCCTAAAATACCCCGACATCAATCTCGGTGTATCTGAATTCCTAATACAAAAGACGCATCACCAAGATCTTTCATTTCGAAATTCTTTGATAAAAATTTCTTGGTTTCGTGCAATATGCCTATATCATTAGTGACAAGTAGAATGTCATCAACATACAAGATCAGGAAAATATATTTACTCCCCTTAAACTTGTGATATACACAATCATCAACAATATTCATCTCGAAGCCAAATGAGAGAATTACTTGATGAAATTTATAGTACCATTGACGAGATGCTTGTTTTAGTCCATAAATGGATTTTGTCAGTTTGCAAACCATACTCTTTGAATCTTCCTGCACAAAATTTTCTGGTTGCACCATATAAATCGTCTCATCAATGTTGCCATTAAGAAACGCCGTCTTGACATCCATTTGATGAAGCTCCAAATCATAATGTGCTACAAGAGCCATGATTGTCCTAAAAGAGTCTTTCGATGAAACTGGAGAGAAAGTCTCTTTAAAATCAATCCCTTCCTTTTGGGTATAGCCCTTAGCTACCAGACGAGCCTTATACCTTTCCATATTACCTTTAGAATCCCGTTTGGTCTTAAATATCCACTTGCAACCAATGGGTCTCATACCTTCTGGTAATGGGACAAGTTCCCAAACCTTATTGTCTTGCATGGACTTATACTCCTCCTTCATTGCTTCGATCCACTTTTCAGAGTTAGAACCTTGCATGGCTTGACGGAAGTTAACTGGGTCATCTTCCATCATACCATTGTTTTCTTCATCTTCCTGAAGAAATACCATGTAATCATCCGAAATAACACTTCTTCTTTCTCTAGTGGATCTCCGCAAAGTTATTGACTCATGATGCACAGGTTCTTGAGGATCTTGAGTTTGTTCTTCATGAACAACCAAATCATCTTGAGTAAGGGGTTCATTAACAATGCCTTGTGGAGGTTCCGAACTTACTTTATCAAAAGTAACTGTTTGAATCGGTTCTGGAATTGTTACCGATTCTTCCTCTAAGACAAAGTTCCTGATTTTATTCTTCCCCCCAAACTCAATATCCTCAAAAAACGTAGCAGTTCCCGTCTCAAAAATTGTCTTTAATGTGGGATCATAAAATTTATATCCCCTGGATCTTTCAGCATAACCAATAAAATAACTACTTACTGTTGGAGAGTCCAATTTCTTTTCATTTGGCTTATAAGGCCTTGCCTCAGCTGGACAACCCCACACATGGAAATGCTTCAAACTAGGCTGTCGCCCAGTCCAAAGCTCATAAGGTGTTTTGGTCGCTGCTTTAGTTGGTACTCTGTTCAGAATATAAGCTGCCGTCTTTAGTGCCTCTCCCCAGAGTGACTCTGGTAAGGTGGAATGACAAATCATACTCCTGACCATATCTTTAAGAGTTCGATTTCGTCTTTCAGCTACACCATTCATGCTAGGTGATCCCGGCATGGTATACTGTGGGACAATTCCACACTCCTCTAGGTACCTGGCAAAAGGTCCTGGACGCTGTTCACCTGACCCGTCAAATCTGCCATAGTACTCACCACCACGATCAGATCTGACAGACTTAATTATTTTATTGAGTTGATTTTCAACTTCAGCTTTAAATGTTTTGAACACGTCTAGAGATTGTGACTTTTCATGTATAAGGAATAAGTATGCATATCGTGAGTAATCGTCTATGAATGATATAAAGTATTGTTGACCATTCCACGAGGGTGTAGGAAATGGCCCACAAATGTCCGTATGTATCAACTCTAAGACGTCTGTAGCTCTATATGCACCTAATCTCTTCGCTTTGGTCTGTTTGCCCTTAATGCATTCAACACAAACATCAAAGTTTGTGAAGTCAATGGACTCTAAGATTCCATTTAACACAAGTCGTTCAACTCTATTTTTAGAGATGCGACCTAAGCGCCTGTGCCATAATGCTCCTGAGTGAATATCATCAATTTTACGTTTAGTACCCCGTGATTCTGTATTAAGGGTTTCGTTATAGGTGGTCACAGTATCAAGTAAATACAGATTATCATAAGGCAAAAGTGAACCAGTTCCAATAATATCTGAATTAAAAGACAAACTGAACTTATTGTTTCCAAATGAACACAAATAACCTAATTTGTCCAGATAAGAAACTAAAACCAAATTCCGTCTAAATGACGGCACAACAAAAGTGTCTTTCAAATCCAAATAAAAACCAGTACTCAATAACAATTTAAAATGCCCTATGGCTTCCACCTCTACCGATTTGCCATCTCCAACATATATCCATCTTTCAGAATCAATTGGCTTCCGGTAGCTTAGGCAACCCTTTATAGAAACACTGATGTTAGTAGTTGCACCTGAGTCTAACCACCAAGTGTTACTAGGTACTGACGCTAAATTGACTTCAGAACAGACTAAAGTAGGAAACATACTTTTGAGGATCGGAACATAATTTAAATTGGCAGATACAGAAGCAATTGTAGCTGGATTAGAACAAAAGAAATAAACTAATTATGTTCACATTATAAAAAAAAATAATTATAAATAAAATATATATTCAAATAATGGTTTAACCCATCTCAAGACACCCAATGCACCATCAATATCAAGTCTTTGGACGAGTAATATTAACTGCTAGAGGTATCTTGTTGTAATAATCAAACATTGACAATAAAGCACATCCAACAACAAACCAGTCTTTGGATTGATTTATCATCGACAAAACTAATCTTTATAATTATCACATGTTTATCATTACAAGTGTATATGCAATTCGACCAAATATTAATCTTGCTTTGGGCCGACTAATACTCGCATGAATATACACAAACACTAACATTTAATATTTTTCACGAACTACCCAATTCAAGAGATGTTACTTTGGTAACTTCTTGACTCAATTTGCTCACAAAAAATATTAAACTACCAAACAAATTGAATATATTAATAAGGGTAATCCTAAACCAAATTAAGTCTCAAGGACCACTTAAAAAAAAAAAATTGTATTATAATGCCACATGTGATGGTTTTTTTTTTTTTAATTAAGGCTACAGGTCCCACAACATTAACACCATCATATTCCCTTTTTAATTAAGACAGCAGGTCCCACATTTTATTTCCTCTCTCTATTTCCTTTGCTTATATCTCCGCACGCCACGTGATCCCCTCACGTGTCACCTTTCCATCATCCAAGAATGGGCTCAGAAACCGAGAATCCAACACACACCCAACAACCTAACCAACACAATCCTTGTTTCGCTTCAACCCAAAATCACAGTTACCAACCTGTCACCAACGATAACAACAGCATTGAAACCGCTTACGGTTGTGGCGGTGACGATGCCCATAGTGACAGCCGAGTAATGCTAGTCCACCCTCACACCCTCATTCCCATACCAGTCGTGCCACACGATTTCCAATCAAACCAAAACGACGTCGCTCTACCGGGCTTCTCCGTCGGAAGCTTTTTTCCCACCAGCGGAGCAGCGACCTTTCCGCTGCGATCGTGAAGCGCGTCTCCTCGCTCCGACAGTCCACAGAAGAGGACAACGACGGCGAGAAGCGCGAGGTAACGAAGTTCAACCTCTCCGACGTGAAGGTCATGGTGACGACGAAGCGGGAGGAGGAAGAGGCGTCGTTGAGAGGATGCATCAGCTTCTTCTCGCGGTCCGATTGTAGAGACTGCACTGAAATGTTTTCGCTCCTCTCGCTCGAGTTGGGAATTTGTGAATTTACCCCAAATTCAAAAATAGGTTTAAAATTTGGGGATTTTACCCCAAATTTAAATCTAGGGTTCGCAAATTTGGAGATTATTCTCCACTTAAATTCTTAAATCTCAATTTTGTTAAATCTAATTTCCAAATGCAAACATGAATCAAGTATGGGTCGCTCTGATACCAATTGTAAGGTTAAACTGTAATTGAATATGATCTTCTTCCTTATGATCAAACATACATATATAATCCCATACTGTAAACATGTTATGAACTAAATGCGAAAGCGTACCTGAATTATCCATAATGATGATATTCTTTGTAGAGCACCTTTGATTTGATCTTATGGTCTTCCACCTGAAGAGCACCTGTATTTCCCTCTTGATTTTCTCTCTTGATGGGGATAGAGAGAAAGGAACGGGACTGTAACTTTGTTTTTGTCTGTGTGCTCTCAGAAGGGGACCATGACCCTTTATATAACCAAAATTAGGTTAATTACTTAAGTTTTAGTATTTTCAATTTGGCCCCTCATCAAATTAAAAAATTACTCTATGGTCTCTACACAATCATATTTTCATGACATATGCCTTTAGCCAAAACTTCAATTTATTCAGATCACTTTATTATTTGGCTTAATAAATAATGACCCTAACACATTTAAATATGTATCATATATATACATGACCCAAATTTTGTCAACATAGTTATGTTGGCAAGAACTTTTGCATGTGTTCATTGATAATGGAAGCATTCATAAATTCTTGGACATTGAAATAGCTAAAAAGCTTGGGTGTAAAGTTTCCCCAATACAACCTTTGAATGTCATAGTTGCGGATGACACTAAGTTACACACTACAAAAAAAAAAGTCTATTACCTACGGAATTCTATTCGTAGGTAATTATCCACGGATATTATCCGTAGGTAATGTCATTCGTGGGTAATTACCTACGGAATTACTATCCGTAGGTAAATTATATTAAACTAAAAGAATTGTCACTAGCAAGAATCGAACCCAGTACCTTAAAGTTGAAAACTGATACTCCAACCACTAAACTATTAGGATATTCTACTAATAATTTACAACTAAATTATACTTATATTTATTCGTGTAAATATATAAATATATAAATACATAAATACATAAATACATAAATACATAAATACATAAATACATAAATACATAAATATATAAATACATAAATACATAAATATATAAATACATAAATACATAAATATATAAATACATAAATACATAAATACATAAATATAAATATATAAATACATAAATACATAAATACATAAATACATAAATACATAAATACATAAATACATAAATACATAAATACATAAATATATAAATATATAAATATAAATATATAAATATATCAAAATATAAATATATTTTATATTTATATATTTACACGGATAAATATAAATATAATTTATTTGTAAATTATTATCAAAATATCCTAATAGCTTAGTGGTTGGAGTATCGCCCTCCAACTCCAGAGATACTCTGGGTTCGAATCCCGCTAATGACAAATCTCTTAATCTAATCATAATTCAAAGTTTCGAAAATATAATAAATAATAAAAATATAATATAAAGGGGAGGGGGTCCTAGGTAATAATAAAAAATAAGGGAGGGTTGTAATAAATAAAAATATTTTGTTTAGGTGAGTGCATTACCTACGGTAGGACCTACGGATTTTACCCGTAGATAATAAGCATTTTTTTCGAATCCTGCCAATGACAAATCCGTGACAAAATTTCTCAGCCATATTCCATGATTCGACGCCTCAAAGCATGCTACAAATTCTGTTGCCATGGTGGATGAAGTTGTAAGGGTTTGCTTGACACTGCGCCAAGAAACCGCACCACCTGCTAACATGAAAATGTAACCTGAAGTGGATTTCAAACTATCTTGACATCCTGCAAAGTCCGAGTCGGAAAACCCGACGATCTCCAAGCGGTCCGACCTCCCGTATGTGAGCATATAATCTTTTGTTCTCTTTAGATATCTCATGACCCTTTTTCTGCTTTCCAATGGTCCATTCCTGGATTGCTTAAATATCTGCCTAGAACCCCAACTATGTATGTTATGTCTGGACGCGTACATACTTGGGCATACATCAAACTCCCTACAGCTGATGCATAGGGAATCTTTTGCATTTCCTCAATTTCCAAATTTCCCTTTGGGCACTTATTGAGACTAAACTTGTCTCCCTTAGCAACTGGAGTATCCCCGGATTTACATTAATGCATGCCAAACCTTTTAAGAATTTTTTCGATATAGTTCCTTTGTGATAATCCTAAAATACCCCGACATCGATCTCGGTGTATCTGAATTCCTAATACAAAAGACGCATCACCAAGATCTTTCATTTCGAAATTCTTTGATAAAAATTTCTTGGTTTCGTGCAATATGCCTATATCATTAGTGACAAGTAGAATGTCATCAACATACAAGATCAGGAAAATATATTTACTCCCCTTAAACTTGTGATATACACAATCATCAACAATATTTATCTCGAAGCCAAATGAGAGAATTACTTGATGAAATTTATAGTACCATTGACGAGATGCTTGTTTTAGTCCATAAATGGATTTTGTCAGTTTGCAAACCATACTCTTTGAATCTTCCTGCACAAAATTTTGTTGTTGCACCATATAAATCGTCTCATCAATGTTGCCATTAAGAAACGCCGTCTTGACATCCATTTGATGAAACTCCAAATCATAATGTGCTACAAGAGCCATGATTGTCCTAAAAGAGTCTTTCGATGAAACTGGAGAGAAAGTCTCTTTAAAATCAATCCCTTCCTTTTGGGTATAGCCCTTAGCTACCAGACGAGCCTTATACCTTTCCACATTACCTTTAGAATCCCGTTTAGTCTTAAATATCCACTTGCAACCAATGGGTCTCATACCTTCTGGTAATGGGACAAGTTCCCAAACCTTATTGTCTTGCATGGACTTATACTCCTCCTTCATTGCTTCGATCCACTTTTCGAGTTAGAACCTTGCATGGCTTGACGGAAGTTAAGCTGGGTCATCTTCCATCATACCATTGTTTTCTTCATGTTCCTCGAAGAAATACCATGTAATCATCCGAAATAGCACTTCTTCTTTCTCTAGTGGATCTCCGCAAAGTTATTGGCTCATGATGCACAGGTTCTTGAGGATCTTGAGTTTGTTCTTCATGAACAACCAAATCATCTTGAGTAAGGGGTTCATTAACAATGCCTTGTGGAGGTTCAGAACTTACTTTATCAAAAGTAGCTGTTTGAATCGGTTCTGGAATTGTTACCGATTCTTCCTCTAAGACAAAGTTCCTGATTTTATTCTTCCCCCAAACTCAATATCCTCAAAAACGTAGCAGTTCCCGTCTCAAAAATTGTCTTTAATGTGGGATCATAAAATTTATATCCCCTGGATCTTTCGAGCATAACCAATAAAATAACTACTTACTCGTTGGGGAGTCCAATTTCTTTTCATTTGGCTTATAAGGCCTTGCCTCAGCTGGACAACCCCACACATGGAAATGCTTCAAACTAGGTCGTCGCCCAGTCCAAAGCTCATAAGGTGTTTTGGTCGTCTGCTTTAGTTGGTACTCGTTCGGAATATAAGCTGCCGTCTTTAGTGCCTCTCCCCGAGTGACTCCGGTAAGGTGGAATGACAAATCATACTCCGACCATATCTTTAAGAGTTTGATTTCGTCTTTCAGCTACACCATTCATGCTAGGTGATCCCGGCATGGTATACCGTGGGACAATTCCACACTCCTCTAGGTACCTGGCAAAAGGTCCCGGACGCTGTTCACTGACCAGTCAAATCTGCCATAGTACTCACCACCACGATCAGATCTGACGGACTTAATTCTTTTATTGAGTTGATTTTCAACTTCGACTTTAAATGTTTTGAACACGTCTAGAGATTGTGACTTTTCATGTATAAGGAATAAGTATGCATATCGTGAGTAATCGTCTATGAATGATATAAAGTATTGTTGACCATTCCACGAGGGTGTAGGAAATGGCCCACAAATGTCCGTATGTATCAACTCTAAGACGTCTGTAGCTCTATATGCACCTAATCTCTTCGCTTTGGTCTGTTTGCCCTTAATGCATTCAACACAAACATCAAAGTTTGTGAAGTCAATGGACTCTAAGATTCCATTTAACACAAGTCGTTCAACTCTATTTTTAGAGATGCGACCTAAGCGCATGTGCCATAATGCTCCTGAGTGAATATCATCAATTTTACGTTTAGTACCCCGTGATTACGTATTAAGGGTTTCGTTATAGGTGGTCACGATATCAAGTAAATACAGATTATCATAAGGCAAAAGTGAACCAGTTCCAATAATATCCGAATTAAAAGACAAACTGAACTTATTGTTTCCAAATGAACACAAATAACCTAATTTGTCCGGATAAGAAACTGAAACCAAATTCCGTCTAAATGACGGCACAACAAAAATGTCTTTCAAATCCAAATAAAAACCGAGTACTCAATAACAATTTAAAATGCCCTATGGCTTCCACCTCTACCGATTTGCCATCTCCAACATATATCCATCTTTCAGAATCAATTGGCTTCGGTAGCTTAGGCAACCCTTTATAGAAACACCGATGTTAGTAGTTGCACCCGAGTCTAACCACCAAGTGTTACTAGGTACTGACGCTAAATTGACTTCGAGCAGGACTAAAGTAGGAAACATACTTTTGAGGATCGGAACATAATTTAAATTGGCGAATACGTGAAGCAATTGTAGTCTGGATTAGAACAAAAGAAATAAACTAATTATGTTCACATTATAAAAAAAATAAATAATTATAAATAAAATATATATTCAAATAATGGTTTAACCCATCTCAAGACACCCAATGCACCATCAATATAAAGTCTTTGGACAGTAATATTAACTGGTAG